ACAGTCTCAGTACCAAAGTAAATAAATGCACATTAAGCGTCTCGAAACCCTATCTTTTAAACTACTATTACAAGTATAATGTATAAGCTTATTTTATCTACACGCAATGGCTTTCAAATCGATGGCATTTTAATAACACGTTATAAAAATGTGTTTTACATGAAATGACATTGAAAAAATGATTATGTATTGTTATTGCACTTACATACAAATACATTTTGCGGTCATAGTATATTTCTGATGTTTACGGATAATTTGAATTAAATTATATTGAAGTTTTAGAAAATACATAATCATGACATGTTATTGTGAGAGGAAATGTGATGATAATGGGACTGATAATACGTTAAGTCGATTGTAAATAATACTTGCTTTTTCCTTAAAGCAGCACGCCTCTAGATTCATGTTTTTTTTTTTGTTTTTTTTTTCATGAAAATTTTGTAAATGTATTTAAAAGTAAAATTTTGTGAGGTGAACAGATAAAGTAATTTACATGTTGCAATGGGCTCTTACAATTGCCTAAAAGTTGTCAACAAATATAAAACAGCCCTACTGCGTTAGTAACGCAGTAGAAATATGGTGATAAATAATGCAAAATCAGTCTTAATTCGGATATTACATGTAAAATATAACTTGGATATTGAATGATTTTACCTTTTTCATTTTTCTCGATATTGATTTTCTTGAAATATTCTGGCTCATCTGGAGGCGTGCAGCTATAAAATATTGGGGAAAACACAAAAACAAAAAAACTTAATCCGTAAAGAACGCCCAAAACGGCAAAATTGGAAATGTTGTTGACTCAATTTGATTGAGCCTGTTCATGGACGGTAGTGGTGATTGCAAGCTACCGTCCACGCCCCTAGCTTAGTCCTAAGCCTCCTTGTGCCAGAGCAGACTGAACTCAGCCGACACAGATCATCTGAAAATGGTCTTACTGTCGCTAATCAGACAGTACTTATTTTGAAAATTTCCCGAAAGATGGTGAATTGTTTTTTTTCCTTCATCTTCTATCCAGATTGAAAGATTAACATTTCCATTTGACATATTTAGCGGGGTAAGACTTAAAGTCCTACAGTATGGTATACATCATCAGATGCGTTAGTATAATTATTATATATATCTATATTGAAATAAGTTAAGCACACTTTGGTAATTTAAAAATGGTTGTGATTGAATTCGAAAGCACTGTCGTGAGATAACGACTTAATTGAGAAATTGTAATGTGATAAGCAGCGATCATACTAATTTAGTAATCATAAACCAGAACATATATGAGTTTAGTTAATTCTTTACCAAATTATTGAAGCATAATGTGTTGTCTTTTTTACCAAATGTGTAAGTGTTCATAAGCATGGTGTTTGAGTGTTAACAAAACATAAACTGGTGGATATCTTTGGTAAATGTTGACGATTACGTAACCTAAAATGACATTATTGAAGCCAAATTTTTAAGACCGTGTGTAACAATTTTAAAACAATGTCCATTCCTAACATGAATCTTTTTCTGATGTCAAACATTGATCAACATATTCGGATAAATAGTTAATTTTAAAAATCTACTTACATAGGAAGGGAAATAATCATCTCATGTGATTATATACGAAATTGTGTTCATATTCACATAAATAGTTTCTTAGGGTCGAATGCTTCCATACAATACAATAAACTGCGTTAGAAGAATGTGTGAAACACTTTACTTTGATAATTTGTCTGCTTTTGTTTTGGAAATAAGATGCATTGCATTTACATTTGACTGGTACTTAATGGTATTTGTATTTAATACAAAGCACAATAATTATTGTGATCTGACTTTACAGCCGGTACTATGGGGTTGAAAAGTAGCTTGCGAATAACACTACCGTACATGAACAGGCTTAATCAAACCGGGCCTAGAGCATTTTCAAATTTGACGTTTTGAGAGTATTTCGGGATTCTTTTTTTCTTTCTATTTTATAATTATAGTACTATATACGATTATCAATAGTATACACTAATATTATTCCCATTTGTTCCAGTTTTACTTTTGATGTATTAACTGTCCTATTGTCGTTTCAACATGTTCAAGTTTGATTTACTCATGGAATAAACACATGTTTCTTCTGTAATTATATAATCGCTCCAAATCATGTTCTCTGTAAATAACTGTGAAGAGGCGTTTTCATTCTAAAGTTCAATTGTGAAAAACAAAATGTATTTTCTCGGCCATTCGAGTTTTTAACGTTAACTTTATATGACACAGAAAAATTGGCGCCTTAATACTGTTTATATTCACAAGTATGTCGAGTTGCGATACATATGTGATTCACAGGGCCTAACAACGCAAAGTAGTTCTCACTCAAAACTGCTTAAAAACCAGCAATTTAAAGGAAAGAACCATTTTTTGTTACAAGTGTCCAACAACTTACTACACATTCAAACTTTAAAAGTAGCGTTGGCTTATAGAATTGTCAATAAATGCACACTTACAAATTACGCGGATGAATATGATTGTAATCAATGAAAATGCTATTTTTAGCGATGTCGATTACTGAATACTACACAAATAAATCTGACTGCCGAGTAGTTGAATATATAGTTTCTACATGTTGGACTGTTTGGGCGAGAAGATTTTTGCTAAATTATTCACTTCAATTTTAAACAACAGGTTTACCCTGAACAAAATACATCGAAATTACCCTAACCCGAAATGCAATGGAAATTCTAATTGAATTTAGAATGACTTGATTTTATTCAGCCTGTCCTGCTTTAAAAACCCGAAATGCAATGGAAATTTTAAATTTAGAATGTCTTGATTTTATTCAGCCATTGTTTTTAAAACTTCTCCGTGGTGCAGGGGTAACGCGCTCGTTTAGTGGGTGAGAGGTCTGGAGTTCAAAGCCTAGTCGAGTCAACATTTTTTTAATTCTTTTTTTAGTGTCTTTTTTAAGGAAATAGCCACGATATGCAAGGATAAAGTGTGGCTATCATAAAAAATGAACATAAATGATTTTTTGATGCAACTCTAGTTATGCAAAATTCCGTATGTATCAAACTCTGGTGCCATGCAAGATGAATTATAGTACATAAAAATAAACTTATACAGGAAAAGACATACAGATATACAGTACGATTTAGATTCATAAAGTACATAAAATTAGCTCAAAACCCTCATTTAAATTTATTCCAGTTGTACTTTTGATGTATTAACTGTCGTTTCAACATGTAAAAGTTTGATTTACTCATGGAATAAACACATACTGCTTCTGTAATCATATAATCGCTCCAAATCATGTTCATTCTCTGAATATAAATAACTGTGAAGTGGCATTTTTATTCGAAAGTTCAATTGTAAAAAACAAAATGTATTTTCCCGGCCATTCGAGACTTAAACGTTAACTTGATCTGACACAGAAAGATTGGCGCCTTAATAGTGTTTAATAAACACTATTAAGGCGCCAATCTTTCTGTGTCAGATCAAGTTAACGTTAAAGTTATATATTCACAAATGTGTTACATGTGATTCACAGGGCGTATCATAAATGTTTAAATTAGAATGAAATTCATTTTTGAATGTAAATGATGAAGCTATTGCAATGTGAACTACTGCAAGACTTTGAGCCTACAGCAAGTTGGAAAAAAACGTAAGATTCTTAACATAAGTGGTCAGTGTGTCTGGAATGTCTGGAACGGTCGCTAATATTGTAAATAATACTTATAAATAGAAAAGAAATTACATGACTTAGATATGAAGCAGATTGAATTACCTGCGATATTTTGTTGACACAATCAGGATTTTCGCACAATATCACAGAATGATGTCTGTTCTGTCGGTTAGGTGTAAGTTGAAAATAAAGTCATCAAAGCATTTTGTTAAATTGACGACAAATAGCTATAGTCTCTACTATTTTATAACTTCTAATGTGTCACTTAAGTAGATAGAATGAAAATAAAAGACGTTATGTGTGAGAGATGAAATTCTTTTTCATTCAAATTGATTAAATACGTATAAATCGACTGTGTATTGTAACGTTTTTTTTATTTATTTAATTATCTTATTATTGTTATTATTATTATTTATTAATTTATTATTTTATTATATTTCATTATAGTTATTATTATATTTACTTATATTTTATCTTAGACTATATCACGTCTTCTTTTAAACTGAATTAAAATAGATATACTTAGTGCTAAAAAGGTGTCTAATATTTGAATCAAATTAGATATAATTATTGCTGAAAATGTGTCTTATATTTGAAACCAATAACATAGATATATTTACTACTTAAAATGTGTCTAATATTTGAATCAAATTTGATATATTTATTGCTAAATAGGTGTCTTTATTAGAATCAAATTTCATATATTTAGCGCTAAAAATGTGTCTTATATTTCAACTGAATTAAAATAGATATACATAGTGCTAAAAAGGTGTCTAATATTTCAATCAAATTAGAAATATTTTGTACTAAAAAGGCGTCTAATATTTTAATCAAGCTAGAGTGCTAAATAGGTGTCTGTACTTGAATTCAATTACATTTATTTAGCACTAAAACGTGCCTTATATTTCAACTGAATCAAATTAGATATACTTAGTGCTAAGAGGTTGTCTTATATTTCAATCAAATAGGATATATTTAATGCTAAATAGGAGTCTTTATTTGAATTCAAGTAGATATATTTAGTGCTAACAATATCAATTAAATTAGATGAATTAAGTGCTTAATAGTTGTCTTATGTTTGAATAAGATAAGTTATATTTGAGAAAATCCTATCTCTTTGTGTGTTAGTTTGTGTTTTACGTCACACCGACACAGTAAAGGTCATATGACGAAGTTCCAGTTTTACGGGTGGTGGAAGACCTCAGGTTCCTTCCGCGCATTTTTTCAGGCATGAACGGGCAGTGGGAAGAACCACCGACGTTCCATCCTATCTCCTCGCTGTACCAATATGGGGAAAACACAGAATAGTGTATATTTCAGTGACGTATTAACATATATAAAACGCAGGACTCCAAAAGTCATTCCAAAGTTTAATGCATGATAGTCATGTAGAATTGAAAATGAAACAAACTTAAGCTAGGCCGAGCATCTAAATGTTAAACTTTGAACTCCTCATTGCGCTGTATAACCTCCATCAATACTTATTGCAGAACCAGTTGTGCTGGCTGCGTCGTCACTGCATAGATAGAGAACAAGTCCAGATACCTATAAATATAGAACAGCAGTTTCAATTGCGATGTAATTGTGATTAATTCCGCCAAGAAAATATTTATATAGAAATGCAGTGGGGGTTAAATAAAAAAACTTGTAAACTTAACATACCCTTAAGAAATAAATGCTTATCCTAAGAAGGATAATAAACATGCGTTGATTTAGAAAATGTTTGCAATAATTTTAATAAATAAATGTATTCTAGTACAAGTTTGTTAGACACAACGTGTCTGTCCGCATAATATTTCATATTTGATTTATACAGTTCTAAGTTTTACTTTCTAATGTGCTACCGTTTATTAGGACTCATGAGCAGCCAACTTAACAGAACGTGGCGGCTGGGCAGTGTTTCGTTGGCCAGAAACAGAAAGCATATTAAGTTAAATTTATTTCCCGCGCAGTATAACAACGTTTTGGTATTATAGAAATAGCATATTAGCAACCAGAAAACTGAAAAAATAAACCACCCCAAGGCGTAGCCTCGGGTGTAATTTCACTTCAAGGAATGCTTATATATTTATCCTGAGATACACGTGTTATTTTTTATTACACGGAATGAACATTTTAATATTATAGTAAAACATTTAATTATGCGAGGTAGCTCCAGTAAAGAGAACTAGAACATTACGTTGTCTTAAGTCTATATAGATAACTCGCCCCTGTGGAATATTGCAAAACATATATGCAATAGATCGAAAATGTATCATGTTGCCTCACATTAGGCTATGTAATACAAAGTTTACGTGAGGTATAATATAATTGTTTACCTGTTCAACAGTTACTGGCTTCTTACTTGGATGGACACTTCCAAAAAATTCGTTCTGTGGATAAAATAAAAACTTTAAACACATGACTTATATATATTTCTTTCAAACAAACCCTAGCTGCAGTGAAGTTGCACCTTTTTAAATTAAAATTAAATTTCATTTATTTAGTTCCTGATTTACTCATTATGATAATACTCTACGTCTTATACTGTCATTGTGTGTAAGAGAGAAATGGAATCCCCTAGAAACGTCAAAACGGCAAAATTGTAAATTCTGCAGAATCGGTTTGATTCGGCCTGTTCACGGACAACACTGGCAACTGCAAGGTTACGTCCATATTGCCCTAAGCATTTAAGCATGTAATTGTAAACTTTTGAATTTAGAAATAACTGCAGATGTACAAATACCGCGCTAGAACCTTTCGTGCCATTCTATAAAAGCGGCAAATGATCCCCAAATTTAAATTGCATGTAAATTACTTTGCTACATTTAAGGTTCTACTATTAAAGTAGACCCGAAATACCACTTGGTATATATTGTTTGCGTTATAAATCGGATCATAAGATGTTAGAGACAAGTGAAACGAAATTTTGGAAGATATATCTAAAGTTTGTTACACCCGGGTTTAGCCAAAATACTTAGTTTTTTACACCGGAGGTTAGCCAAAATCATCTTTCTTGTTTCGTCGCCATATGAAATAAATATCCAAAGAAAACAAACAAGCAAAATTTCATAGCTTCACACCGAAAACGAAATATATAACATACACTTTTATTAAAGAAAAAGAAAACAATAAGATTAGAAAAGTGGATGTTTATATGTTGAGATATTTACCCTTTTCTGCTCAAAAGACTTCTCCTCTTTTTCCGCCATCACATGAATTTGTTTAGTTACAACTAAAATAAATAAGGTTAAAACAAATAAACTATTTATGTACAAAGATATTACTGTACTTGTTTTCCGTTGCGATAGTTAAAGGCTAATTTAGCTAAAAAAGCGACAGTTTTTATTTCTCAAAAACTTTTAATTTTGGTGGTTAATATATGTGTTATTTATATGAGAAATATAAATAATGCTAAATAGCAAAATTATGAATATCAAACCCAACAAGGAAGAGTGGCAGACGATAAACGCACCCCCCCCCCGTCATACACACACACGACACAGCAACACAGAACTACCGACAAGGGGCCCAGCAGGTCACCCCACCAACCAGGATTGTTTGAGTTGCTTTCCTACTCATGGTAAAGTCTTTTTGCGTTTAAATCTTTTTTATACTTATTTCCCTCAATGAACTTTTTAAAAGTACATAACATTTGGAAAAGAATGACGTTACTTACGGTCTGTTTCCACATAACCAGGACATATTGCATTACATGTTATACCATATTCAGCTGTCTCTAAAGCTGTACCCTGTAAATTAAAAAGCAGAAATAAGCTAAACACCGTGTTCAATGTCATTGTAAGATGATAGAATATTCTTGATAAGAAAATATTTCGAGAGTTTTATATTAAACACATTTTAGTATGTATTGACAAAGGTTACACCAGTATTAATTATGAAACATGCTACTCAATGACATATTAAAACACGGTATCACAATAATCATTATAACTTCGGGTACATTTGTTTTGCAAACGCATGCAAATTTGTTGTCCCATACGAATGGGCGACTGCATTGTTTACAAAAAAAGAATTACCTAAAGATCTTAAGTTTTTGACTGTATATCACCGGACTTATTCCAAGAACAGAGTACAAACGTAGACATTTCAAATAAAATGGCTGGTCATACTCCCTCCTCAATATGTAATAAATGTAAAACAAATATGTTTGGAATAAAGCGACTTACCTTTGCTAGACCTATAAGAGCAGCTTTTACAGCACTGTATGGTGTTTTTCCTGGTGTACTTATTAACCCCATCTGGGAGGATGTATTAACTATTCTACCCCATCCTATAAATAAATGGTATCTTTTAAATATTATCATCAAAGAAGTATTACCGGTAGTTATGTCATAAATGAAAATTTAGAATTCTTGCATAAGGCAAAAGTGGATGAAATCAGACTCGGTTTGTTTGTTTCTTTGTTTGTTTCTTTGTCTGTTTGTTTCTTTGTTTGTATCCGTTGTTGTTTTTCCGCCGATTTTCAACACGTTTCAGGCCATATCTCGGCTGTCTCTCCACATTATCGGTTATCCCGGATAACTTTTATAATAATTACTAATTTCTTCGCAAGTGACTTCCAACTTGTTTCATATGATATCTGAATCATCGGTCATAGACAAATAATCATTAGACTCAATGACAATGTCAACGCGCAAAATTTTACGTCTTATCCAAGGATTGAACCATCGACCCCTGTATTAAAAATCCAATGCTCCTCCTATTGAGTTAAGCGAGCGAACATGCTTTATGTGATTAAGCCTGAACATAGACAGTAATACCAACTGAAACAAAGCTCAATGTAGAGAAAACAGAATCCCAAGAGGACAATTAAATGGAGGCTGCAACATTTCAATTTCTGCCGTTTTGGGCGTTCTTTAGTGAATCTGATTTTCTCTATTTTATTTTACTTATGTTAAAATGTTATTGCTATCTATTGTTATTATGAAGTTTATGTTTAAATTATTTATGCAAAACATTCCAAGCACAGTATTAATTTATCTCAGTAATTGCTTATGAATTAGCATAAGTATCAACTGTTAATCATACAAACAATTACAATTAGATATACATGTAATAAACAATGATTACTTAGGTAAATATGAGTATTTGCAATTAAATTACCTTTCTTTTTCATGTAAGGTACGAAATATTTTATCAATAAGAACGATGCTGTGAGGTGAACAGCCACCATTTTATTCCAAATGTCTATAGGATATTCGTCTATACTACATACATGCTGAAAACCTGAAAATATGTTACCATATACATACCATGTACAGTTTTTATTGTGACAGGATGAAAGCATATAAAAATAATGTCACATTTTTGTATAATTGTCGGCCAAACAAAACTAAGGGAAAGTTGACGACGAACAAATAGCAAAAACGTGACACTCAAATTGTTAAATTTTCAACTGCGAAGCTGGCGATATTAAGCGCTTGATGAAAGCTTATATTCAAATACAAAGAAAAATACCCAATAAGTTATTTTATCTTTTTTTAATCTTTTATACATTTTCAGAATGACGACGTACCTTTTATCTGCATAATAAATATAGAAATCATCATGATCATCATCATCAACAACAACAACATCAACAAAAGGTATACCTGCATTGTTTATAAGTATATCAATTCCTTCTGGATATATAGCAGTTATATCTTTACACAATTTCATCATGTCTTCCTCTTTTGTAAAATCTCCTCCCACGTATGAACAGCGAACCTTATAATTTCTACAAGACAATTGATAATACTTTTAAAGTAAAATCCATAATTTCGTAAAAGGTTCCAAGCAATACCAGGGGTCAGAACAACCCCACCTGCTGGAGCTGAGAGATGCATAGACTCCAAAAATTCAAATCCATTTAGTCGCCTCTTACAATCACACATGGTTAAACGACGGCCTCAACTCGTAAAGGCAACCCCTCAACCACAATGGGCATGTATGTGATGTAGACGTGTGTTGTTCTATTTACGACCCGGAACTCTTTCTTAAGTAATGAAAAAAGCAATAAAAGAAAAATGAAATGACTTGATTTGATAGGCAATATGAAGTGTAAAATCTTGCATGACAACAATCACCGGCTCTTAAAAATTGTTGTGTTTTTTTTTCAAACAATATAAATGATCCCGAAGGACCAGAAGAAAAATATTAAGTTTTAAACAAGATTCAAACTGCTATTTTTAAGAAATACTTATTAATAGTAACAAATCTAGAAAAGGGATCGTCCCTGAAAATGAGTCTCTGTATGAGAGATAATGCGAAAGTGCAACATCTCTCACGCCCTTATAGCAAGAGCTTGAGCGGAACTCAATTAAATGTTTTGCGTTTGTTCCTATTAACTTGTTTGCTTGTAAACGTTTTGGTTCAGTTGCATAGAGTATGACATACTTTTTAACTTATAAAAGATATCTCAACAGTTTATTGTGTGCAAACTGTTTTACTCCCTGCATTGTATGAGAAACGTAAGATGTTTAATTTGTATTAGTATTATATCTAAATAATTGAAATGTAAATTTAAATATAAAGTAAGAGTTTGTTTAAAGAAATGTTTACTTAAATTCGTCGAGAATTTTGTCTATAGCCTCTTGTTCTGCAATTCCAGTAATAATGACGTCATGACCAGATAAGGCAAACCGACGTGAAATTGCTAGTCCAATTCCGCTGGTGGACCCTGTTACCAAAGCAACTCGTCGCTGACCACTAGACATCTTTTCATAAACCTTCAAAAGAAAGCTTTGATTTCCATATGTCGTGATAGTATAGAATAAGAATGGGGTGTTTGGAAACAAGTGCATATTGTAATTCATTTTTTTATGTTCACAACAAAATATTCACAACAAAATAACAAGACAAGTTGTCGGTTTATCTTACGATTAGTTAACAAAACTGTATACATTAAGACATCAGTTGCAGTAGTATGGTTTAAATTCATTCATATCACTTTAATGTTTACTTTAAACGTGACTATGAATATTTAGTTATCTATATAGTATAATACTGTTTGATATATATTACACAATGGCAAATCATTTATAGTGCAGATGTATTTTCAAACATAACGCAGGTGTTTCATATAAGCTTTAGAGCTTTCTAGACAATCCTGAATGTAATTAATGCATTGTAATTTTGTTTTAAAAATGTGGAAGAGCTATAAATATTGTTTAAACCAAAGCAGTAAAACGGGATTATCAGTACGTGTACATGTAGTATATTTATAAATTTCAAATTAGTATCTTTGTTAATGAAGTTTGTAATTTAAAGCGTCTAAATTCACCGACACAGCGTGCCGTTAAAACGATTTTTAAACCTGCCTCCGATATGAAATTCTTTAGCCTGTGTATTTTTAAATCAATTTCACGGTTTAACAAGAGATTTAGTGATTAACTGATACTACAATTTAAACTAAATCATTATTTCGCTCTAAATACCTTACCTTTGTGTTTAACAATTATTTAAAGTGTCCTATTGAAATCCGAGATACAAATCTAACTACCTTATTCAAACATATACCTGCGCCCGGGTTTGATAAAGATGTAAGGCTAGATATGTGGTATTTGTTTGTTTCTATATGTGATTCAATAGCTGGATGGATGGATGGATGGATGGATGGATGGATGGATGGATGATTACATCGATGTTTTCAGCCTTTCACTAATTGTAACAAATAAGTTTTAATAGTAGAAAAGGTATAATAAACCCTTTATATTTTTTCCGTATAACACATGATATTTTGTTTAAAATCTTGTGTTTAATGTTATTTGTAAATCAGCTTAATTATAAGCATTATCAATTTCAATAACTGTGTGGTATGTTAGGATGCCACAATGATGGACAAAAGAACTGAAACAAAAACACAACAAAACAATTTACAATTATGTTTGGCCTATAAATATTTTTATCTAACACCAGCAAGGGTCAACATTATCTCCGTTATATAGGTATGGAGCATAATTACATAGTACTAGTGGCATGCTCTTAATACATGCATGATATATTTTTTTTGCCTGCATATGTTTTAAACGTTTGAATTAACAACAGTTTTTTATCTATTTTTTATTTGAACTAAAAAATGCATTTTAAAGGGAACTCGTTAAGAAATTTTGACTTAACGGGGGCTTGATTTCTTTGTGTTATGTATATAATAATAATTTGATACACATGAAACATACATAAACTTCGATTTGGATTATTTTTTACTTATTGTTATGAAAATGTTCGGGTAGGTACTTTCGTCTTTAAACTTAATGTAAAATACAATTGAACATAGCCAACAGAAAGAAAGATATTTAGAATAAGTTTCGCATGAAAACCGGGCACGCCTTTACATGAACAAGAGTTTCCTTCTACAACTCAAAGATGGAAAGTCTCCATTAAGTCTCTACAATGGAATTGTTCAGTCACACCTCAAGAATCCCTTTACATTTGTTAACAGTGAAAGTGTCAAGAATAGAACTAAAGACATCACCTTGATCTCCGTCGGAACCCACGGTACACATTAAGTATATACTGGTAGACGGTAAATAGCCTGGGTTATAAAGATTGCACCTAGATAAGATAACGACACATCATATTTCTAAGTTTAGAAAGTGATACATAACACATTACATCAAATACAATAACAATGTCTAGTATTTCCATCCTCACTCTCTTGTTTATCACCACCTCACGCGCTGACGAATTTCACTCGATCTTTGATAATTTCACATATTTACGGCGCCGATACGATATAAACTTGTATATTAATATAAGATGTGTATACCAACTAACCAGCTTTTTTTATAACGTTGTCATCTGTATGTCTAGCTCGAGTAAAGTAAATGGGTGACATATTAAAGATACTGTGACAAACCGTTTCAATAAAGATACTGTATGTGTTTTAATCGTGATGTTTGATCAGGTTTAAGAAATCAGGTAAATGTACTTTTATGAATGATAATGTCGCTGAAGCGCCAGACTTTCCAATCTGATCATGGACACAAAACTGGCTCAACGGTAGTATTGTTTTGCAAGGACTAGTGGTTGGCAATTAAAGCGATACCAACAACTGCAGTTTGTTCTCTCCGGAGAAATATCATCTCTTAGTAGTATCCAACATATATGCCTCCAACATGGTGTTTCCCTTCAATGGCTGGACTGACTGAAAAACGCTTGCTTTTCACCTTTTATTTGCGAATCCGGCTGAGTCAATGTTAAGAAAATAGTTGTTAGTAATTATAGAATGACAAATAATATGACATGAAGGAATAGGATGAATGAAAATTTAAAGAAAAAAAATATGGAGAAATGAAAAGGATGATTATTTATGGTTAGGGATATATGATATAACATAATAAGCTACACGTTAAACTATAGAACGACACAATACATTCGAAATTTACTTTAAACATGTCGGCATACAACCCTCGTCGCATCAATTAAACATAATAACTTTATATATGATATAACTATAATATATGATATAACATAATAAGCTACACGTTAAACTATAGAACGACACAATACATTCGAAAATTACTTTAAACATGTCGGCATATAACCCTCGTCACATCAATTAAACATAATAACTAGTATATTAATTTAACGGAAATCAGGTAAAATATGCTGAAATTTAGTTTTAGGACGAAACAACTGCAGATACGGTAAAGATAACAACAAATATTGATTAAATCTCATGCAATGGAATTAACTTACAAACGGTGTCGGTCTATATACTTAAATCTTGAAACTTCAACCTTCTCTAAACATATTTACGCGGTGTCAGTCCGTCAGGTATTTTCATCATAATACTGCAAAAATCATACATTTTTTACTCAGCCACTTACTTTTTCTCAAACCTTCATTCTCTAGCAAACAAGGTATTCTAAACCAATTAAAAGTATGTTGCTATATCAAAGTGGGTTGCCAGTCGAGCATTCTTGAAGATTTGTTTTATATTGTTGCAATGTTGCTTCTGCCAAATAACATAAGAAAAACAAAACAACAATTCTGAAGGTATAAAGACATTTCATAAATCCATGCACTTAGGACTTTACTTCGTAATGCACCTGTAAAACATTGCTAAAAAACCCGGACTACTGAATCATAAATATATTTGTTAGATAACAACTGTAACTATATCAAATATATATGATGGCTATGTCTGTGGTAGAAATACTTTTGATAGTCCATTAGTAAAGAGAACGCGACAAATTCAGTTTGAGTGTACCGGTTGCTGTTGTCAATTTCGAAGGAGATGCGGCAAGAATGAAGTCAGAAGCTGCTCGATTGGTACAGATTAATGTTAATATTCCTAGCTAGTGTGGTCTTGTCTTTGAACTGCATAATTCACTTTTAACATCCAGGTTTGCCAACAAACAAAAGGGATACATTTGTACTTTATGTGTTAGAGCGCATTTGGGGAATTTCTCTCGCTGTTGACCGTTTTCTTGAACCAAATATTTCCCACATGTTCAGATATTGTTGGGAATACACTGATATTATGTCAAGAGTGAACTCTTTTCTGAATATCTTGGTGTACCATGAACAGTTCATTGATTGTTTTTTCTGCGTTTTACGCCGATTTTTACACATTGTTTAGTCATATCTCGACGGCCGATCCTCCCTCCCAACCGGTTTCCCTGTACAAAATATATATTTCTGGGCAAGTGATGGACTACAAACATTGCATAATTTCTGAATCACTGGTGTGGGACAAATGACAATCTCGGAGAAATAACGTCTCGTCCGAAGATCGGTCTGGCGACGTATTGGCTAATCGGAGGCCCTTTCTACATAGCTTACCCAGGGGGCGAGCCAGTTCAGTTCATGGACTAAAGTGGTAACAGCAAGCTAATGTCCTAACCCTCTAGCATCGGTAAAGCAATATTGAACATGTATATATGACAATAGTGAAACTGGAATTTATATCAACACATCTACATGTGTTCATACGGTAGTGATACTGACAATGTCGTGCCATTACATGAAAAGTGGCTTAAAATCCCTAGATAAAGAATGCGTGTGTCAAAATAAGAACAAAGCCAAAAGCAAAATACCTAAAGAAAAAATAGGCAACATATCCTTAGGGTGATTCTAATTTACTCAATAAGGAATAATGGAACAACCTAATAAGAAAATGAACAGGTATAAATAACCGAAACACGACGATTATGTTGTGTTTTTTTTACATTTCAGAAATCGATCATGTATGGAAATGGATATCCTGTTTGAATTGAGCATGTTATTTTTACAATTCAAAATTGTGAAAAATTCGTTATATAAACGAGGTTTGAAAGTGTCCTATTTTCTTTCACACTCCTGCAAACACAAAAACGCCCTTGTCTTCACTTATATCTAGACTTATGTCTGCAATGATGAAAAGACGCTGAAGCTGCTAGACTAGAGGCACCGTTTGGTGTTGTATAGAAAAAGCACATGTTCTCACATTAAACATTTATTGTACTTATATAACAGAAAGCTATCTTATAAATGTACTCAGTTCAACAAGATCACATTATTCCCCATTACAAATGGGCGAAACGTTGAATATGTATATAGTTTTATATTTTACGTTGTATATATTTTGCCTCGCCAAAACCAACGCAAACATGACGGCGACTTTCCCTTCTGGGCATCTACTTAGTTTGCGAAAACTTTGTCCATACAACAAGTTCTGTCATTCGGCTCCTCTTAAGGTAAGTTGACATACCTAATTGTTAAAGTCAAGATATATTTATCAACCAATTTTTTACAAAAGCAGTTCCTTATAACTTTTTTTAAAAGCTATTATATGTTTATCAAAAATAATATCATTTATTACGTTTGATGGCGTGATATGTTTGCAAAATTGTCATGATGTTTGCATAAGGATGTTGTGATTTTAATTATGCTTATGAAACAATTTTCAAACATCGAAGAATATGTAAAATGTGTACTGCAAATATTTGTACATATTTTATGTAATCATTAAAATATATACATTTATTTCTTATTGAAAAAATTGACTAAATCTTTTAAGAAAATAAATTTCTTATAACCTCCCTTTATTTACATGTAATGTTTAAATCGGTAATATCTTTATAAATAATGCTATTTGGATCTTACAAATTTGATAAATTTTAATTTGAGCATCAAACTTATGATATAAACCATAACAAATTGTGTTACAGGATCTTTAAGTGAAAAACAAGCATGGATTAAAACTGACAGTAGAAAAGTTTAGAATTAATAAAATAAAAATTCTTAGTAAATGGTCAATGCTAAGAGACAAATCTGGGAAAAACACAAAGTTTATTAGTATATTTTTTTGATACGTCAATATGATTATTATGCAATTTTCAAATTAATTATTTAATAACATTTTATAGGAAATTCAGGATGAATCTTACGAGCCTTGCTGTGAGGTCTGCTCCTGTGAAAGCGATTGTTTTGATATTGGAAGTTGCTGTCCTGACATGACATTGGCAGGGCTTTCTAGCCCTAAGTACCGTTGCAGGCATCTTTTCCATTTTGGAAAAAACATTGTTATGAATGAACAATTCTGGAGTAATAGCTGGTATCATGTCATTGATGGTTGTCCTGATTCTGAAAAAGCTCTAGCCTACCAAAGATGTAACAAGCCAATAGAGGTACAGGATTTTGTGATTGTTATTGATACACAGACAGGTAATGTTTACAAAAATAAACATTGTGCCGAATGTAACAATATCACGAACTATGAAAAGTTAAAACTACAAATTGACTGTATGAATCCGTTTGTCTTGACAACTTTCAAAACGCATGATGAGAGAGAACAGTATGTAATGGAAAATTGTTCCTTGAGGTCATATCCGCCAGACAGACGTGTTGGCCTTTCGTATTGCATACCAGAATCAAGTGTAATATCAACATGTAATACTTCAGGTACTTGGGATATCTATGACAAAGATATTGAAAGAGGTTGTTTGGTTAACAGTTATGACCAGAATAAGATTTTTAAGCGTTTCTATTCGAGTTATATACAATATTATGCAAACGTTTATTGCTTTCTGTGTAATGTAGATTCCAAAAAGCACAAAATTGATGTTTGTGAACTTCCAGATGAAAGTGCTGATGATAAATCTGGTCGTGTTTCTTTTAGTTTTATAATTGATACAAGTGAATGGGAAAACGATAACGGTTTGACAGAACAAAAGATGTGTTCCGAATTGCAAGTATGGGACCCGTTCATGGTGAGTGAATAGTATGTTCAGCATAGAATGGTCTTTTTATTTATAAAACTACAATTGATTTTAACAAAAACGTTTTAACTACTAAAATTTTTTTAGAGTAAATTCAGCATATAATGGTCTTTTTATTTTTGGTCTTAACAAGAACGTTTAGCTACTTAAGTTTACTTGTTTGTATCTGAAATCATTTTCTTTTGAGCCATCGATTGGGCGTGATTATGCTTTCTTATTTGAATGTATTTTCAGGGTATCTGCAAACAACTTTTATGTCCTATTGGACACATTCCGGTCTACGGAAAGTGCAAAGGACTCTTTAGTAATATAGATGGTTACACGATAGCTGTACATTTCGAGGTAACGATTCAGTACGGGAATATCACCGACAGCACAATTCTGTTACATGTCCTGCAGAAACGTATTGTTAGAGAACTAGGAGACATTCAGTGTGGAATATGTAAATCATCCTTATTTTGGGGCAAAAATTCAACATCGCAAATTTTCTTAAGACATGAAGCTTTTGCGAAAGACGGATGTCCTTATGATGCTTTGTTAGAGAGGATAAGGAAAATAGCTATCAATGGGAAAATGCATCTGCAGTTTAAGTATAAGGACCAGAATGTTCGCATAGTACTGCCAATTATTTTTGAAGACATCGATCACACTACTGGATTCAAAGCTCTTGATGAGAGGACTGCTTTCTTCTGCAGAAGTGCATACACAATAGATGAAACAATTTTATCATATTGCCCAGCAATACTACTGTCTCATGACGAAGCAAGCCAATATGGGCTGAATAAATTACAAGATACAGACATGAACACTACGGTCAAAGTGTGTCTGGAAAGTTACTTTTCGGCAAGACAACAGAATATAGCAGCGGATACACTAGATAACTTCACATTCTACATTATATATACTTTGTGTTTAATAGCATTTGCCTATTTGTAGAAACCTCAATGTTTATATATATATAAGAGGTATTCAGTACGGTATCCCGTTAGGGACACACATAACTCGAAACTTTGAAAACATGAAATTACGCCGGTGATAAGTCTAAAAGAGACCACGATGGTAAAAAGTGAAAGGTACGATGATGAACAGTTAAAAGTACGATGGTAAAAAGTATATATAACAAGCTACTATGTTAAAATCTCAGTATAATTTCGTGTTTTCACCATCGAACATTCGACTTTTACTATTCTGGTTTCGTTGCTTCGTTTTTCCGACTTTTCGTCATTAAATTTTCACTTTTTCATCATCGTATAGTTTACTTTTCACCATCGTTGTTTCGTTAATTCGACTTTTCAGCATTGCACTTTCGAGTTTTCATCATCGTGATTACACTTTTTTACCATCGCACTTTCGAGTTTTCATCATCGTGGTTTCGACTTTATATCATCAAAGTCTCGTATTTTCATCATCGTACTGTCGATCATGAAATATCGTGGTTTGCTATTTTAAATTTTCACCATCGTCCTTTCAATTTGTCATCATAATCATCATATGCTTTACTTTTCAACATCGTTGTTTCGTTATTTAGATTTTCCACCATCGTTCCGAAATAAGGAATCCATGTTTGTGAAAGGTCGGAAGTGCGAAAGTGAAATAATATCAAGTTTTCACCAACGTGTTTTGTTATTTAGACTTTTCTCAAGTGTACTATCGACTTAAGAAATAAGGGAGCACCTTTATACTAATTTTCAATTATTTGAAAAACATTCACAATGCACGTATTCAGATTTGCATGAGTTTGTAAATTTCTATTAAATGTAAACTATCTTGCTTATTGGTCTGGTGTTATAGTTATTGTATTTGATGTCTTATCAGAGGAGGAAACACAAGAGAAGATCTGTCATTAAGCAGCTTAAAGATTTCTTATTTTTCATAATTCTTTCCCATAACCTGAAATGATTGATATTGTAGCTTAAAGCAACATGCCTCAAGATTGTCATGAAAATTTTGAAAATGTTTTTAAAAGTAGTCTTTCGTTTAGTGAGCTTTTGCAGTGCAAATAGCACTTACAATCCACGTAAATTACAAAAAAAGTAACACTATGCAAAAGTAACCCTTACTGCGTGATTCACGCAAATATTGTGATAAATACTGGAAAAATCAGTTATTAATCGCACAAAAAATGTAAATCATTACTTCAATCTTGAGGGTTTTTTTTTTACTTTTCTTAAAATCATAGTATATTTTTCTCAAGATTGATTTTCTTCAAAATATTTGGCTAATGGGATATGAGCAGAAAATTATGTCACATATGACAAATGATGTTAGGCCTTTTAAATGACGGTACGTAATGCTAACCCTCATTCGCTTTTATATACTGAAAAGCAGCACAGATTGTATAAAGTGTCTATTACTCTATAAGCAGGGAAATATTTAAAATTTATTAAAGTTAAAGACATTTTATTAATCGGTGTAGATACGGATGCTTGCTTATATGCGCAAAACTAGGATAGGAACATTTTTATTGGTGATCACTTTTTTACAAATAGGATTGTTTTTAATCAAGTTCACCATATTTTCTGATTTTAACTATTTTATATATTAGAGAATAATACTAAGAAAGAAAACATAAAATAAATAGAATATTGATATACCTACTACATGTCCGCACCTATATTGTTATAGGCAACTGTACTGATCTTTTGTATAAAGGCTTTGCTAGGTTTAAAATCCTTTAAGTATAGCACGACCTAAAATACAGTCACAAACTTATGAAACACATCACCAAATCTCTTAAATTGTTATAGTATTTCATAAATGGTCAAATAACCGACAGGTTTCTGTAGAACAGCTACAGATGAATACTTATATATTTAGCGTCAAGCTGTATTTGGCTTCATTTATATTCTCTTTATAAAACTACGACTATTTGTACGAACGTGGTACTATGAAGAACTGTGAAAATTAAAATAGAAGGCGAATATGAACAGAATTTCATATAGTATCGACTTTTGTTCTTCTGTGAAAATTAACACAGAAATGTTTTAAGAAATACAACTTTTTAATTGGATGAAAAATAAAGGTGAACATTAAGTATATGTTTGAATAACTTTAATTTTTGTGTACGTTTGTGTAATACTGCTTACGAAATACGATAGTATATGTGGGCGTAAATATTTATATAATGATACCAATACTTGTAGTTATCAATAGGTGTGTAATAAAGCCATTTAATAAAAGATAATAAAATAGAACATTGTATTTGTGAAGATTTAATACTAAATCTATTGAACTCGTTGAATAAAAACCAGTATTATGCTCGCCAGATGATTCTATTCAACTCGTTCAGTATATTTAGTATTAAACCTACACTCATTCAATATCCTCTATTTATATAAAACATATCCTATGACATGGGACGTTTCAGTCGAATATTTTTAGTTTAATAGTTTATTGTCTCATTCCAAGCATGTCATATATACAATACATCACAATGTTCAATCATATTAAAAAACATGTTGGACCAATCTCGATAGATTTATAAGAGACATTTAAAAACATGATGATACTGGTAAAATATATTCTATAGCTAAAAACCAATTTACTTTATAACCAAGTTACATGTATATATAACAGACATTTTTGCTTATTCCTTCATGAAAAAACAATATACTTCAAAAAATAATGCCCAGAATATTTGTGACAATACTACTGCAATTTACTTGTTATGTGAGTGAGGCCAAATATGTTCATACAAAAGTGTAAGTTTAGTGCAGCATACATGTATTGTAAATAAAACTTGCTATGTCGGTTAATAGGTAAGAAGCTTTGCAAAATGCTTTTAGCTAGTCGTTCTACTAACCAGTTATGAAATTATATCACTGCTGCTCCGCATTACTTCAAAGGTTTAACAAAATACCTCTGGGCGAGAAAATAAAATAACCGGTGTATGTGTAGCTCGTCAATGATGTAAGCAAAGTCTATTGTTGAACCTCTATGACCTCGTGAAAGTATGTGTTATTTGTTGGTCGATTAGCCGGTGAAATATTTTGATATTCTGTACGAACGGGGTATATGTTATTTTCATGTAATAAGGTGTGGCAGGAAATATTGTCCGACATCCACGAATGTGAGTAGCTTGTAAAATATATATCGTTATATTGTAATGTTCATATTCAACATATATTATTATCTATTTATTTATAACAGAGTAAGTATTTTATTGCACGCTTCGTTGCTATTATTTCATAAGATTTTGTAGTGTATTTTGAAATATATACACAAATGTATCAATAAACATGTATATGATGATAAAATATACACTATTGGTCGTTAAAAGTGATACACTTAAATCAGTGTATGATATATTTATATGATTTCGAAATAACTCTGCGTTTGAAGTTATATATCCCTAATTATCACAAGTGGGACATTTGACACCGGATAGCTGGCTTGTCTTAAAGTAAGTTTTCTTAACTTTATTTATGCACTCTTGTTTCTGTAAAGTAAAGTTTCTTATTGTTTCTTTCTTATTGTTTCTTTAAAAATTTGATAATGATGATAACAATTTTTTTTAAAGTTATGACTTTATCGAAATTATATATATCATACTTTAAAAATGAAATATCGGGATAACAAAAAAATAATAATATGCATATCGTTCAATCTGTGATGTTAATTTGCAACAGTATCATGTATTATGGTTCAAAGGAAGGGTAGATAATTATTGGCTCCTATCCGACATCTTATAATTAACTAAATATTTCCTGATGCGTTCATCCGCCATCCGTTACGATGAAGGTAAAATTATTATACGAAGTGTAGTTTAGCTTATAGAAATATAATCAGTCTCTTATCATTATCATCATCACCACCATCATTATCATCATCTTATTATTGATATTATTCTTATTATTATTATTATTATTATTATTTTATTATTATTATTATTATCATCATCATCATCATCATCATCATCATCGTCGTCGTCATCATCATAATCATCATCATCTTTTGATTATTCGTCAACATCAACATTATATTTTGTACTTATGCCGATAATTTTAAAGATAACTGGTTTATCATTTTAGAACAAACGACTTCCCATGTATCAGTTGCTACATAAATCATAGATTAATTTGTTATTGATGTTGCACTTGTCGTAAACACAATGAAAATAAGAGAAACACTTTTTCGTTTCTACTTTTAATATTCAATTTTTAAACACTTTTTTATCTTTACTTTTACAATCCACGAGTTTTTATCTCTCTAACACTTTTTTACTATTAAATGTATTTTACATCAAAATCCTTTTCATATCTCAATCACTTTCCTTCTTACAATACTTTTTAACACACACTAAACTTCTGTGACCATGCGGTCGCTATTTATACAATGTTATCATGAAAAGCACGTGAATATGTTTGTGGCGGGAATTCAATGGCGGGAAAGTTAAAAGGAGCAATGTAATATAATAAGACTTTGGCGCGAAAACCAAAGGAGCAATAAACGGAGTATCAACATACAATAAAGTTTAAAGGAGCATATTCAAAGAACAGCATTTAAATACCAAGTATTCATTACATAATCGCTATGTTAGCGACGCTCCCGCCATAGAAAATGAGCATACAATATTTATAGTAGAAAACACAATATGTATGTTTTTAAGAAAAATGATTAACTAGAGCTAATTATTAAGATTTAGAAACATCTATTAACAATGCACATTGTTTAATGTCAAACAATTAAAGACTGTTTTCGTGTCTCTATTCGATTCAGGATGTATTGTTTAATGATTTAGAAACTAAACATATATTTATTTTATGAAATATCATCGTTATTTACATCATTGATTTTTTTTTTATAATTTTTACTTAAAATAGTTTTTAATTTTTTGTTTTGCAATTTCCGCTGCCGTTCTGTTTGATACTTTATCTGGTTTCTTTTCACTTTTCTCACTGTTCGTATCCCCTTTGTCATCAATAAATGTGAGATTTTTATCACATTCAAGAAGATAAAGTAAGTTTAAAGGTCTGCCTATCAGTCTCTTCGGAGGTAGCTGTACTTTAGCAGATCGAATTTCTCCATCATTACTAGTCACTAACTCCACAATGCGACCAATTTTCCAACTTCCTCTAGGTAAGTTTTCCTTTATTTGCACAACATCACCCATACTCGGTATTATTTTGGCATTAATCCGTCCTGATTTTAATTGAGTCTGAAGGCGCTCTCTTAAACTCACAAGGTACTGATCACGCCAAATTTTCCAGAACTCATTCAGTAATCTTTGTCCTTTTTTCCAAATCTTTAACAGTTTTTCAGTTGAACTTTCGACAGGTAAATAGTTTTCATCACCATCGTCGTCTTCTAAGTCTGGTACACCGGTGTTTGGATTTAAAGTTAAAAAATGCCCAGGTGTCAAAGTGATGTTAGAAGATAAATCATTTTCTTCGTAAACTAAGGGTCTCGAATTAACAACGGTTTCCACTTCCTTGATAAGTGTTTGAAGTTGAATCATTGTAAGAAGTTTTCGTCCTAATGATTTTCTTAGTGCACTTTTAACTACCCCAACTAACCGTTCACAGAATCCCCGGAGCTAACTCAACAATGAAATTCCAACGAATGCCCTTCGAAGCTACGTATGACATTACTTCATTACTTTGCACTACGTTTTTCCATATATGATTTATGACTTTACTTGCAAGTTTAAACTGAGCAGCGTTATCAGAAACAATCTCGATAGGAGTGTTTCTTTGTGAAATGAATCGTTGCAAGCACATCAGGAATTCTTCTGTACTTAAATCCTGAATCACTTCCAAATGAATAGCACGTGTTGTCATACACGAAAATAAACATATCCAGACTTTTCTATTACCATTTGATGTTTTAATGTTCAAAGGTCCAAGATAATCTAATCCAGTTCGTGAAAATGCACTTGACTTTTGTACTCTTGAACTGGGAAGTGGGGCCATAACAGGCATTTTGTATGGGCCTCCATCGTAGCGGCGACACACATTACACTTATTTAATGCTGCTTTGACCGCTGAACGACCGCGAGTTATCCAATATGTTTGTCTTGTTCTGGATAGCGCATGTGATATTCCATAATGCATACACTCTTTATGTGCCCTTTGAATCACTAGTTCAGTAAACTTTTCTTTGTGAGGTAGAAGAATAGGTTGTCTTGCTCCTTCTGATAAGCAAGAGTTCCCTAAACGCCCAGTACAACGCAATAATCCATTGTTGTCGATAACCAGTCCAAGTTGTCTTTGTAGTCCGGACGGCTTTTTCTTTTGAATATTCTTATAGTCCTTATTATAAATATTCCTTTGAACATAAACTATCCACAAATTTTCAGCTTGTCGTAAGTCGTCACAAGTTAGATATTTTGCATCATCCTTTACATTTTTGAGTTTCCTAATGAACTTTAAGACAAGAGCTGTAACACGCAACAACTTTGTCAACGTTGAATATCTTTGAATGTCAATTCCACAAGGTGGTACAATATCATGTTTTGTTTTGCTTTCATTTTCTTCGACATGCAATGAAACACATAGTTCTTTTTCATCTTTTTCTTGCTTTAATTCCATGTTAATAATATTGTCGTGATTTGTATTCCAGTTTCGTGGACTTTCACAACACCAAGTGGGACCGTTCCACTAAAAAGAATTGTCCTTTAAATCACTCACCGACGAACCTCGAGTTGCACCGTCAGCTGGATTATCTTTTGTGTCTACATGAGCAATAATCACACAATTATTGTTTTTGATTTCTTTAACTCTATTTTTCACAAATACGGGAAGTTGCTTTTTACTATTAATCCAGTCTAATGCTACCTGAGAGTCGGTCCAAAGGTATTCGTGAGATATTTCTATCATTAACTGTGTCTTCACAAATTTCAAACACCTAACACCTATAAGCACTGCCATTAGCTCTAGTCTTGGAATAGTCATTTTCTTGACTGGAGCAAGACGTGTTTTGGCAAAGATCAAGTTTGATTTCACATAAGTTACATTTTCTTGCTGTAGATAGATTGCAGTGGCATAAGCCTTTGACGAAGCGTCACAAGAACAAAGCAAATTGTATTTTACATATTTGTCTTGAGAAACGATACTCAGGCGTATTTTGATGTCAGATAACAACCTTAGCTGATCGCTGATAAATGACCACTTATCGAGCACATGTTCGTCTGTTATCTTTGTATCCCAGTCGAAACCACTTTCCCACATTTCTTGAAGCAACATTTTTCCATGAAGAATGACTGGTGACACAAGACCCATGGGGTCAAATACTGATGCTATTCCTTTCAGTACGATTCGTTTTGTCACTAATGAACGGTTTATATTCGAACATACAGATTTTACTGACAGAATATCTGATTTTATGTCCCAAACATGTCCTAGAACCTTAGTTTCAGTTTCAGTGGATCTGTCAACCTCTGGAATAAGACTGTTTACTTTTTCACTACTTGAACTCCACTCCCGAAGATTCATTGAAGCGTCTTTAAACATGCTTTTCGCTTCTTTATACAAGTCTACAGCTTGTTCATCGCTGGATGCTCCGGTTATAATATTGTCAACATAAATGTCATGTTTCAGCTGTTCTGATAGTTTAGTGTCATAAGCATTCAAATGAGCCTCAATCGTTGCACTCAGAAGAAAAGGGCTTGAAATAATCCCAAACGGTACTCTACAGAAACGATAAATTTCGATGTTGTTTGGAAACAGTGATGGTCTTTTTGTGTCTTTAATCCAAAAGAATCTGGTTACATCGCGTTCTGAGTCTTGCAAACCAACTTGAAGAAACGCCTTTTCGATGTCCGCAACCATTGCCACTCTATGTAAACGAAATCTCATAAGTAGCCCACACAAGTCCTTGAGTAAAACAGGACCTCGAAAAAGACACTCATTCAAACTCTTTGATTCTGGTGATATTTTTGCCGACGCATCGTTAACAATCCTTAGCTTTGTTGTTGACTTTTGTGGCATGATAACCGCATGATGAGGAATATAGTGATGCATATATTCCTTGCCTTTCCCCGAGTCTTGAACCTTCTCAATAACTCCTTTTGACCGTTGGTCTTTTATAACATTGTTGTATTTTTCTAGCAGGTCAGGTTTGTTTTCTAGTCTTTTCAAACACGACTTAAGTCGTCCAATTGCAAGTCCTTTGTTTTCGGGTAAATCTGGATTTTCTTCTTTCCATGGCCAGGTAACACTGTATCTACCATCCTGAAAGGTGAGTGTGCTTTTAAACTTTCTCATTGATAACTCATCATCATTCATTTTGTCTTTGTCACAAATGCCTATAACCTCTTTGTTCCTAAAATCCTCTAGATCTTGAATCGAGTTTTTACAAGAATCGATACCACAGAATATTCCTTTGTTTATAGTTGAATTGTTAACACTTCCGTGTGTGAGAATGAGCATGTTTGGTTCCTCTTTCTCTTTTAATTCTGAGTATGACCTTCCTGTTAGAATCCAACCGAGTTTAGAACACATCAGATACAATCCGGGCTGAACTTCAATCTTTTGTTGAAGTTCAATGTCTAGGTAATGATCATTTCCGATCAAAAGTTCTATTTGAGATGTTTCATTTTTGTCGGGAAACGTATCAGCTAGATCCAAATTTTCTGCAATATCTCTGAATTCTTTCAGGACTTGTTTATTCAGTGACTTTCTATGTATGCTTCCACTTATCACTGGTACAATGTTTGCTTTAAGACATAGCTTTTGTCCATTTCTTAACTTTAAATTGATGGAAGTCACGTGTGTCTTTATCACTCTAGCATCTTTACTGCCAAATGGAAACACATGTAACTCTTCGACATACTGCTTCTTTAGTCTTAATTTGTCAGCTAGTGACTGTGTGATATATGTTCTCTGAGAGCCACAGTCAAGAAGAATTCTTGTCTTGACACTTTCGTTAGATGTTGGGTTTTGAATATCAGTTAGCGCCGTCTGCATAAACACAGATTCTCCGTGAGACAACATAGCATTTTGTTCATTTTGCTCCATCGGTGAGATATTATTGATTTGCTCCGTTGCACTCATCTGTGATTCTTCTTGTGTTGTTTGTTTATATTTCTTAGGACACAGACTTCTATGATGTCTATTGAATTGATTACAGTACACACACTTTTTATTTGATTTGCATTCACGAATTCCATGACCATCCTTTAGGCAACGATAACAACTATCTCTGATTCTGTTTTTCCGTTCTTCCAATGTTGCGAATCGAGTACACATGTCACTCCAATGATTCTCTGCACACTATCTACACACTGGCTTGTTATGAACAGTTTCATTGGCCACAAATGTGTCGGCACTGCTACGGAATTTCTGAAAATGATGTTGAATATGAAAATCTTTATTCCAAGTATTCGTTGGCAATGCTCCGTCTTTCTTTATTCTCCTGTTCACTGAATTAAATTGACCTCCATGCACTCTATCACTCTTTCCTTTGTCAGACTTTTCACAAGCGGTAATGTATTCTCGTAGGTGATCACGCAAACTGTCAACAGTCCACTCATTCTTTGCTCCTTTTATTATTTCCAGCTGCCGGAGCACATCCTCTGGCAGCTTTGTGCGAATCATTGAAACAAAAACGTGTTGATTCACATTTTCCTTTAGTATCTCAAGACTGCGTAAGGTTTTTTCAACTTTATCCAAAAAAAATCGCAGGATTTCAACCTTTGTAGTTGGTGAATGAACATTAAGCATTTCTTTGTAATGAAGATCAATAATCTCTTGTTTGTTGCCGTACCTCTCTCGTAGAATTCCGACTGCAATAGAATAATTGTCGTTAGTACGCGCAAGTCCAGCTAATGCTCTCTTCGCTTCTCCGTCTAGTTTGCTTAGCAAATAATTAAACTTTTCTATGTTGGATAGTTTGGTGTTTCTGTGCACAATGGATTCAAAAGAGTCCCAAAATTCCCACCAGTTTATTTTGTTTCCGTAAAACATGTCCAAATCAAGTTTTGGTAATTTAACTGCACTTGTATTTTTTCTGTCCGTTTGCATCTGCACCATCATTTGATGTTGCTGTTCAATTTGTGTCATCATCATCTTTTGCATTTGTTCTTGATATGTCTCTTTTTCTTTCTCATCATGTTTCAATGGTACAATTGACTCACAAAATTGGTCTAAATCAATGATACAATTTTCTACCTCGAAATTCAAATTGCAATCTTCATCTACAATATGTTGCAAATATTCTGAATCACTTTTAGTTAAACGTTCTGATAGTTTATCCATTTGACTCATCAATTTCTCAGAATAGGATTTCAATAGACTTTTACACCTTTGAACATCTTTTAAAAACTCAATATTTGACACTGCACTCACCTCACATTTCAGAAGGTCGTTTGCTTTTTGAAGCTCAGTTATCACCACTTTTCTGTACTTCGTTCTCACTCCTTTCAATGAAGCAACAGTTGGCATTTTGAATATATATTCAGGTTGCACAAACACAATTTTATCAGAACACTTAATCGAGTAAAGAAATAATCCACTTTTGAAATGCACTAAACACCTTTTGTCACTTCTCAATTTTTATTTTCACTTCACACTTTACATCCACTTTCGTATCCGGTTCGCGGGACCATTTTCATTGTCGTAAACACAATGAAAATAAGAGAAACACTTTTTCGTTTCTACTTTTAATATTCAATTTTTAAACACTTTTTTATCTTTACTTTTACAATCCACAAGTTTTTATCTCTCTAACACTTTTTTTACTATTAAATGTATTTTACATCAAAATCCTTTTCATATCTCAATCACTTTCCTTCTTACAATACTTTTTAACACACACTAAACTTCTGTGACCATGCGGTCGCTATTTATACAATGCTATCATGAAAAGCACGTGAATATGTTTGTGGCGGGAATTGAGTGGCGGGAAAGTTAAAAGGAAGATGTAATATAATAAGACTTTGGCGCGAAAACCAAAGGAGCAATAAACGGAGTATCAACATACAATAAAGTTTAAAGGAGCATATTCAAAGAACAGCATTTAAATACCAAGTATTCATTACATAATCGCTATGTTAGCGACAGCACTGTATCCTAAGATTTGTTTGTTAATAACATGAACTTTTGGTGCTTAAAAAACATTGTTGATTACGGATATGTAAATACTACTTCCAGCTCTCTTTTTATTTACAGAAATTTGTGTATGCCTTGAAAAATTCAGACATGACACCTAAAATAATAAATAAAATAAGCTGGTATTTCTAATTGTAAGCTTTACTAAACGAACTACTAACAGTGGTAACATGTTTGTATATAGTTATCTGAACTTTTGCAGTTACTAGTAGTTCATAAAAAGGTTATAAGAGGTACAACTAACCGATCTATGAAGAAATGGCTAAAGGCAAAGGTGGAGCTCTTGATTGCTGCGCGGCATGCGGAGCTGCAGGTAAGTTGTTTATTTTTAGATGTATCAATCTTAAAGCATTCTTTATAAATGCATTATGTAGATATTTTTTAATCTGTTTTTATATGTTTCAAATATTTAAACAAAATGTGTAACACCTCGCCTGTTTCCATTGATGCCATTGATATAAGCTTTCCATGTAGTTTTGGTGCAAGTTTCATAATTGTAACTAATTATTTATTAACCTACCAGTAGATAAATCTGAAATTCTTTTAATAATGCTCAGCATTGAAAGATCGTAACATTTATGACAATAATAGAATAATGAACTTTCGAAGTCCTGTAATTCATTAAAAACTGTTTAATTTACAACGAGTTGTTTTATTTTTGTTCCAGCATGCTGTTGTTTCATTGTGCTCATAGTTATTGCTTTAGCGGGTTTGGGCATAGCAAAGATTGTCATGGGTGAGTACATTGTTTATACTAACTACAAAACTATGATTACTTTTATGATAACGTTGATAAATAAATAATTACTTAAGATAGATCACAATTAAGTAGTGATTATACAAATTTATTACAACGTTTTATATGAGACACATGTTAAACATCTTTCATTACTTGACGACCTTTATTCATAAATAATGTTATTCATAACATAACATAACATAAATTTATTGCATAAAACTCTTTTTCAAAGTTTATAGCAAGCATTACATACAGGCAGGTACATGAAAACGTGTTTTCAGAAAAGAAAAAACAAGTTAATTAAATTGACTTATGAATACATAGTATTTTGCACATTTTAAGAAAGTTCAGTGTATTTTTTCTAACATGTCAAAATAAGAGCATACAGTATTATGGAGGTGTATGGACAAATTATGAAATTCTTATTCTATTGGCAAAATATATATATTTCGATAAATTACAAATATATTTTTTAGATGTGGCATTCATTAATTGATCAAATTTATGTATAGATGGCCAACGACAAAAATATTGCCGAAAATATTTGGTTCTCAATTCGCGATATTTAGGACATACTAAAATAAAGTGGAATTCAGTCTCAACTTTTCTCATATTACATGATTTACAAAGCCGTTCTTCTCGTGCGATATTCTCGTAACGTCCGGTTTCTATAAGTAAACTGTGCGACGATGTTCTAAGTCTTGATAGTGCAACCCTATACTTGTTCTCTTTAATACAATCTAAATATTGTTCTGTTTGAAAATTATGCTTAAATATACAGTAAGATTGAAGGCGTGGCGAATTATTTATGTCTGAGTACCAGCGTTGATAATATGTATCTAATATGCGTTGTTTTATCAACTGGAACGGTATATTATTCACATCCGTTTGTTGATTCCAGACATAGCTTAATCCATGTACATCTAAAATACTTTTCACTTGAGCAGCCCAATTAAGACCACGATACTCACGACCGCTATCAGCGTCAGCTTTTAAAAACGTATAGGTCTGCTTTATTAATGAAGAGTCCGCGTGCCTTAATATTTTAATCCAATATTTAATTATGTTTATTTTTCTGAATACGGCTAGTGGTACGCGCCCGAGTTCTCCATAAAGTGCGGAAAGGTTTGTTGAGCGTTTCACACATAATACGCGACGTAAGAATTTAGTATGTAACAGTTCTATGTCAGTCGCTTCATGCATACCCCATATTTCAGAGCCAAAATTTAGAATAGAACCAACCAAACTGTCAAATAAGCTTACTTTTTGTTTAATTGGTAACTCGATATTATTAAAGATGGTGAACAGGCTATATAATGCACGAGACGCATGCTGTGCAATACATTTTTGACTGCGATACCAGTTTCCATTTTTAAATAATGTAATACCTAAATATTTAAATGACGTAACTACTTCTAAGGGTGTATCTTCAATATAAAAGTTATGTTGAGAGTGACGTCCTCTTTCGAATATTAATATTTTAGTTTTTGTAGTGTTGATTGTTAGACCCCACTCCCTACAATACGTTACAAGATCATTTATCATAGACTGTAATGCTTCCGGGGATGTAGCATAAAGTACTTGGTCATCAGCATACAATAATAAAAAGTATTTTACTTCGTTAATTGTAAATATATCATCAATATTTGTATTAATATTGTGTGTGACGTCATTTACGAAGTACATAAATAGCAGAGGGGAGCTCGGGTCCCCTTGTTTCAATCCGATGTTAGAGGTGAAGAAGTCTGATGATTCTGAATTGAACTTTACACAGGACTTAACAATAGTATACATTGCTTTTACGGCCCGTACAAATTTACTACTAACTTTTTCTGTTATAAGTTTTTGACATAAATATGTTCTATTAATTCTATCAAAACACAACATATAATCAACAAAACAGCAATAAAGTTTTTTACCCAAGTCTAAAACTTTACTTAATACCGAATGTAGGACAAAAATACAATCAATGATTGACTTCCCCTTTTGGAATCCGAATTGATTTTTGTCAAGCGTATCGTATTTGTTCGACCATTGAGTTAATCTATTTAAAAGCAACTGAGAGTAAATTTTTACAAGTACATTAATAAGACAAATGCCTCGATAATTCTTAGCATCATTTATGTCCCCTTTTTTAAAGATAGGAGTAATTATTCCTAAACCCCAAGAATTAGGATATTCACCACTGTTAAATATTCTGTTATATATTTTCAACAAAAGAGGTGAAATTAAATCATAGCTCGACTTAAACAATTCACTTGGAAGATTGTCTAACCCCGGCATTTTATTATTGTTTTGGTGGAAAACTGCGGATCTAAGTTCTTGTTCTGTAAAATAAATATCTAGGTCAGCGTCGGTCTGGTCGTTCTGCGGAATATAGTCGTCATTTTCACTACTCGGCGGTTCCTCACCAAACATGCCTTTAAAATGGTTAAACAGACTATCGATATTAAGATTATCGGCCTTAAGTGGTGCCTTTTTAAAAGATTTTCGAATCTTTTTCCAAAACTGTCTAGGTTGAGATTTAGCTAAATTGCTAACTTTCTGGCCCTGTCGAATTTTGTATATATTGTATGCTTTCTTCTTCACTTTATTATACTTAGTCCTAGCACGCGTGAACAATACCCTGTTTTCATTTATTTTATTACGATTAAAATTATTACGTGCGCGTTTAAACTCATTTTTTGCGGTAGCGCAATTAGCGTTAAACCAATCTTTGCTGGTTTTCCTTGTGTTTATGGTTACATGTTTTGTGTAAGATTTACCGAAGACTGAATGTGCACTATCAGATATTAATGTCGTAAATTCGTTTACTACGTCATCAATTGGTGCGTGAGGTGCGCGTTCGATAATGTGATTAAATGAATCTTGTTTAATAGTGAGCTGTGCACGAAAAAGATGTACTTTTTTATCATCCCATACTATTTTAGAAGTCGTGGGAGCTGGGTTAACCGGTGAGTTCGTGCACGTGCTAACGTTGTCGTCTGCTAAGCGTAGCGAAAATTTAAACTCGATCGGCGCATGATCTGAGTGTTGATTAAATTCTGAAATAATGAACTGAGACACAATTTCAAAGTCTGAAAAATTTAATAATAAATAATCTACCGTGCTTAGACCGCGGTGAGAACAAAAAGTAAAATTTCCGGGTTCGTTATTTAAACGGCCATTTGCAATTAGTAACCCAGTAGATTGACATAGTTCTATAAGTCGTCTACCGTTGTGATCAATAACTGTATCTTTATTCACTCGAGGTGGAATAGAGACGTTTGTATTTAATAAATCTAAGTTTTCATCTAAATATTTGTCAAAAACAATGAAATCTTCTGCATTTGAAACTCTACTATTAAGGTCCCCAGTTATGAAAACTTTACCTAAATTATTATACTTCAAAATATCAGTTTCAATTTGATCAAAAAAGTCAAAATCAGAGGCTTTAAAAACCTTAGAGTCACTTGGTGGAAAATATGTAAAACAAATATAAATATCATCTCCATCAACAAACAAATCAGAAGAAATTTTCAACCAAATAAAACCTTTTTGATTTTGTTCAATAATAGTAATAAAACGTTTATACTTGTCCTTAATATAAACTGATAAACCTCCGCTGAATCTACCTTTAGATATGTTTTTCTGTTTATTTCCAGATAAATGTACACTTTTATAACCTTGAATGTCAATGTCAAGTGCATTTTTGGCAGAAGTCCAAGTTTCGCTTAGCAGAACTAAGCTAAAAGTATTTATATAATCCAAAAAATCTGTATCTATAAGTTTCCGCACTAAACCATTGACATTCCATGAGAGAACACTTAATGTTAACTCTTCCTGACAACCCTAATCACTTGTAGCACTATCTGAATTACCAGGTCTGTACAACTGACCATCAATGAATAGCTGCTTTCCCACGAATTTGACGGGTTTACCTGCTTTTTTAGCATCATTTATAGGACCGTAAAGTGATTTCCTCGCTTCACGAATTGCTTTCGGCAACTGGATTCCGATACCCCATCCTTTGGCTTTCAGCTCTCCCGACTTATCGTAAGATCGCAGACGGACAGCTTCACGTTCAGAGAAATAACGGTATGTGACTAAAATGGGCCGTGGTTTGCTACCTCGTTTTGGTCCAACTCGTCTTACACTTTCAAACAAGTGAGTATTAGCGTCCGGCATGTCCAGTATATCGGTACATACTGTTTTTATAATAGCGCCACAGTCCTCATGTTCGTTTTCTGCGAGACCGTAGTATAGTAAATTCACTTTCATAGATCTAGCATCCATATCATCGAATCTACATTCCAGTTTTTCTCTTTCTTCTTTAAGTTTTTGTGCACTAGAATCCAACAAATCACATTTTTTTCGTAGTTTTTTTATTTCATTACACGAGTTTTTGATATCCTCCTTAGCAGATTCATACGCACTGGATTGAAACGCGCACGCATTTTCCGTTTCCGTAACACGTGACTCTAGTGATTTAAATCTATTCTCCATTTTACTCATTTTTGTGTTTATTTCTTTCACAGTATTTTCAATAAAATCCATATTTTTCAGTTTAACTTTTAGTTGTTTAACTTCTGCTAAAATCTCTGTCGCCCAAAGAGGGGTGGGCATCGGCGGCATAGAGGAGAATCCAAATGGTGGTGAATTGCTCTGAATAAAGGCTGGTTGAGACATAGAGTAAGGGCTCATAGAGCCTGGTTGGCTAAAAGACATACCTGTGTATTGTGTAAAAGGCGATGTCATTGATGTGTTAGTTCTGTTTACCTTAGCACGTTTTTTCTTCCTACATTGCACTTGTTTATTTAGTCCACGCTCAAGGCTATTATCGACTGTGTTGAATATGGTTTCCCTAATATGGTAAAAGTCCGTGCACACGTCCACGTTGTCATTCAATGGCGAATTCGCTGGTCGTTTTTTATCGTTCAATTTTACATTTATTTCCGAACTGGTTGAACAAATATCCTCTTCTGACATTAGCACTTGTATTCATAATTTATTTTATCCAAAAATTTTGATTAAAAACGTGTATTTAAATACTTTTTAAATCCATTTTTGAGAGATCCGAAAAAACACGTTTTCACCCGCCAGCTGTTATAACGGTAAAAAAAAAAATTCATACGACACAGTGAAACTGAATCAATGTATAATGAGCCTTGCCGATAGAGTCCCCTTACCTGTCCCTCAGTTACCGCCACTTTTGTTTTCTTTCTACCCTAATGTCCTGCGATTCCGATGTTCATCAATGTGCATATAAATTTTGCCCTAATACATTTAAGTAAAGCGCAGATAATAATTACATGCACTAAATATTATTGCAGAAAGCTTTTACGGCAAGTAAACATATGATGACATGGCTGACAACGCCATATATTTTCGCGTCATTTGTTTATTAGTTACAAGTTTTGGCTTTTGAATGTTCGCAATATTTTGTCGTCATCAAAATAGAGAAAATATGTAGCCTTCTTGCGGGAAGTGTAGATCTAATTAATATTATTATCGTGGTAACGGTTAAAGAACGCCCAAAAGACAAATACATAATATGACAGATTGTGGTGTATTATTAAAGGGACTCCACTGAGGTTTTTTAACATGACCGGACTGGAAAAATTATTTTTTTGAGATTATTACTCCATTTGATGTAGATCTATACTAATAACTTATCTGCAAAATATCAGATCATTAGCTCGCTCCGTTTTTCCACAATAATTATTATAATAGTGAAAAATGACCCAAAAGTGAAAAGCGTTTAAAACCTTTTCACTCAAATCGGACTGAGCATATCACAAAAATATGATTTTCAATGTATGTCTTTTGTATATTTCTTGGTTATATTTCATTTGTATTTCTGTTTTAAGTGCTAATGTTTATCTATGTGAAAAATTAAAATTTTATGTTTTTAGGCATGTAAACTTCAGTGGAGTTCCTTGAAAGGCACATTATGTCTCAGAAATAAATTTTTACTTCTTTAGAAATAGCAAAAATGATTTTTTTATGTTTAATTAATGGTTTTAGAGAATGTCTGATGCTTGTTACTTGAAGTAAAATAAGATAAACGTGAAATAATTTGTCATAAAAGTAGTAAAATGCAAACAACGAACAAATTTCACTTCCATACAAAAATCCTTGCCAAAAAGCCAAAAAGCACAGAAGAAAACGATCGATACGTTATTGGCCAATGAGTAACCTTCTGTATTCTAAAATAAAAATGCGTTTTAGAAATAAAAAAATAAAAGTATTTCTCAGGCATAATAGGCATTTAAGTAAAGGTATTAGGTATGAACAATTAGCTTTACGGAACCGAAAGTGATTATCGTTTATCACTAGTATAGTGGCAAGTCAGCATGTACATACGTGCACTTTAATCAGGCTTAATAATGTTTGCTGACCAACTTCACACTTTCAAAATAGTAACTCTAAATTTGATAATGGAACAGTTTTAGAAAATGGAAGCTGGATAAGTTGGTTAAGGGAATTCGTCAATTTGAGAGATTAACATCTGACAAAAAGCAAATACTTCGGTAACAAAGAAATCAAGATATAGAATAAATAAGACACGTTGTAGCTTGGGTTGAATAAATCTTTTATAACAGAAAAAAGGCAACATCTCTCACGCCCTCTAGCACCAGGTCAGCTAGCCTTAAATTTGTAATTACATTGTATATCTTACCATAATAATTTTGCAGGAGCAATTCACTTGGACGACTGCAGTATTGAAAAACTTATACCAATCTGGCTTATTGTAAGCGGCTGCGCTCCAATCCTGTTTGGTGGAATGGGTAAACAGAGTGGTGAGGACGGAGGGGATACCAACCCATGCGCAATAGTCTGTGGAGTAATTGGATTCCTTTTCAATCTAGCATGGCTTATCTGTGGTAAAACCAACTTGTTTATTATAAATGTATTTATGGGAAAAAAGAATATTTTCTTCTTACTTTGTCTGTATTGTTTGAACAATGATAACATTAAAGGTTTTGATTATCACATGTTCAACATAACACATTCAAATGAAATGCAATTTAAGACGTTAACGTCATAATTAAAAATGACATTCATTGTTTAACCCCTTATACTAAAATATTAATAAACAACGCATAATTGTAATCTCCAAGAAGTAAAAAATGATTGTCGTTTCGTCGACGTTTACTTAAACTCATGTTTCACGATGATTAACAGAATATACCGATTTGCTTAAACCCATTACTATTTACCTTGTAGGAAGTGTTTGGGTGTACCCTAACTACAACACAGTTACGGCGGACGACTATGTACAATGTACCGCCAACATAACAACTGGTTGTACGGAAGGGAATTGTGACAAAAATCTTATAACTTTTGCATTTGCGATGGCCACTCTCGACTGGATATTCATGGGTCTTTGGATCGTTCTTATCGGGTTTATAATTTGCAGAGCCTGCAAATAAACAGTATGTTAAATATATTATTTTTTTTCCATATTTTCTGTTCGTGTGTCAATATGGTGAAAAATAATGCAAAATCAGTCACTCATTGTACATAACATGTACATTATTACTTGAATCGTTTAATCTTTTTTATCTTAATACATCTTTGCCCTCTTGTTTTAATTCATTATGGGTATTTATATTTGAAGGAACACATTCTTAATTTATATTTCAGAGAGGTCAATATGACTAGCTGGTCAGCGGTTTGACAAAAGAGGTCTTTGTGTTGCTGTGTTGTATTATCTGTCCTGCTGCAATATTGTTTTGTTTTATTTCATAAGATTTATATACATTTATATAATTGATATTTATTTAAACATTATAATTGTTATCTATATCCTAAAGATCATGTAACTCATTTTTATGGTTTGATATCATAAATATGATGCTCAAATGAAGACTCATCAATATTGTAAGTTCCAAAAAGCATTATTTGTAAACATATCAACGAATTTACATTTCGTGCAAATGAAGGGAGGTAATTAGAAATTTATTTTCGATAAAGTATAAGCCAAATTTTTCAATAAGAAATGAATGCATATATTTTAATGATTACTTTTAATGCATATAAACATTTGCAGTACATATTTAACATATTCTTGGATGTTTGGAAATTGTTTTAGAAGAATATTATATACATATATAAAACTTTACTTCAAGTGTTGGTACATAATTAATTACAACATACAGGATCTTTAAAGTATATGAATGATTCTTTCAGCATACATTATAATTGTTAAGTGATATATATAGATTATAATTATTATTTATTTGTTAAAGTATATATATCATGACTCTTTCAGCATGCGTTGTTGTAGCTTTAAACACTAGTGCACAAAATGTCAAGCTCATTAAAGGACATTCAATAGCTTAGGTGACAAAATATATAAAATGAAGCGGCTAATGAATTCTTGAAAACAGTTGACATTTTCAGTCTGATCGTAAAAAAAGGTATAACATGCTTAAAATAGTCAACATCTAGACTATTTCGACAATAAACTCGATAAACGGCGTAAATTGTTTTCTCAGTTGCTTATGTTTTAAAGAAATAAGATAAATCAATAAAATCAAAAGAAAAAGCAAATCACTTGTCACACTTAAAAAGGTGTTATTGCTTTGAAGCACTCACCATTGCTTAACAAAGACAGATTGTTTTTACTTTTATTTACATTTGTTGAAACCTTGTTTCTTAGTTTTTTTCTCTAATTCATTGACTATTATACACATGTACTGTTCAAGTAGTTGCTTTCCTTTTATTAGTATGTTCAGTATTTTTTCGAAATATTCAAATTCATGAAAAGCCTTTGACCAACAACGTACTGTATACAACGTACATACATGTACACCATCGAATTTGTTTTTATCTGTGATATACAATAGAAGAAAAAAATAATTCCCGGATGTTGTAAATGTCTGTTCTGTTTCTATTCTGTTAACACTTATTATGGTAATTGTTCTCATCCATAATTTACGCCTACGAAAACAGAACAAAGTTCGCCGCAAAATGATTGTGAGTACTACACGCAATTATATTTAAGTCTCGTGACGTGATAAAACATTTAGCATGTGATACAAGTGCTATAATTGACAATTAAGTATTTAGATATTTTTAAGGCTTGTTTCTTATTTTATATTGTTTAAAGTAGGAAAATATCACACGTTTTCTTTATATAATTTATATTTATGTGATTTACCAATGTATTATCCTAATAAAGATCATATGATATGCGATCGTTTTGTTTTATTTAAGAAACACATACGCACTATTTGTTTAAAAGTATATTTACATAATTTCGATTTTAAACATTCGGTATTCTTTAAAATTTCATAGATTTTTCTACTAAATATTTCATATCTTAGTTTTTTATCTACTTGTGGGTTTAAACAAAATCAACAAATCTGGGTACGGAAAGAATCGGGTAAAGTTTAAATGAATAGTTGGGCATGAAAAAGCAATTGATGGTCTAAAAGGTTAAGAGTGAATCAAGAATTGTATAATTTATATGTGATTAAAGCGCTTATTCGTAGGGCTTGGTAGATATACACACACACACGCGCGCGCACACACGCACACGCGCACACACACGAACGCACACACACACACACATGTTCTTTGTTCATCTGACTCCTAACTGTAACCCTTACTCTTACCCTAAACTTACCCTAATACGTTCCTAAACCTAAACGAAACCTAATATCTATACAATCGTAGGCTCCTAAGCCTTATATGACTCAAAGAGGAACGGTGAAAGCACTTTTTCTACCTCACTTTCCATTGGTTATGTTGACAACCTCACCTCGCCAGGTCAGGTCAACTGGCGCGCGCGCGCACACACACACACACACACACACACTCAAGCACACACGTGCTGATGCTCTTCCAATAGACTCACCCCACACTCACTCACGCGTGCTAAATCGTTTTGAACTCTTGCGTTCATATTTGCGTATTAGCAATAAAGACTTCTCCCTTGTGTTACGAGTGAGAAGATAACAAACGTAACAACAAAAATATAAAATAAAGAATAACTTTATTTAGTATATAAATAAAATGTGAAGAGAGATGCAAGTGATGTGCATTCAATGTGAATACTGACTTATTATACAAAACACACATATACACAAACATAAAAACTACATTTTGTAACATTTACTTGAATAAAAAAATGTGTCAACAGCGAAGAAAATACAGAAACAAACACAATAGGGTCGTAAGTATTAGAGTATCTTGAATTTATCTAAGTGGATTTTAATAGGCCAGAATCTCACTATATTTACTTTACCCAAATAGACTTTAATAATCAATGACAAAGAAGACATAAATGTTTAAAGACAGAAGGATTAACATAAAGAACTATTTCTAAAATGCTTTCAATTGAATATGAAAATGTAAAATTTGAAAAGAGAGAACCTTCCACGGTAGTATGTATGTTTTCTTAGGATAAATGCATCAGTTTTAAGTTCCCTCTTTAATCTCATATAAATCAATATTTATTGTACTTAAATGTACATTATGCCTTACAAATAATATATTTTCCCTTAGCCAGGGCAAATATGAGATTTATAACGTTTTAATAATGGTTTACACATATTAGATGCTTGTCACATGAATAAAGTGCAATGTATTGCTGAATGTGAAACTATTTGCAATAAAAGAAGCAAAAGTAAACATAGTAGTATTTGGACTTCCATACAAAATAATAATCACTATAACTGTACTTAATTTCAACGCTTTCAATAAAATCTGCCAAAAAACGCATAAAAATCGGTTGAGTACATTTACATAGTACGTATTGTATAGTTTTCCATCTTAACTGCACCAACTTATTGAAGAAAGTAACTGCGCCAACTTATTGAGGAAAGAATTTCAAAGTTTATTATTTTAGGATTTTATACCTCACTGAAGTTCCTTTAAAATATAATAAAACAATATCTCACACAATAGTCATTAAATGCATGTATGTGATGGCTAATACGATAGAGTGCCGCAAAAGAGGTAATACAAAGGCCATTCTTCAAACCAGCTAAACTTAGGCACGACTCTGAAATGAAATATGAGACAAATGTTTATTCGTTTCTGTAGCAAACTGTCTAAACAAAGTTATCAAATATGTTGTGTGAAAACTAAAAAAAAAAGCTTATTTTTGAAATATACCTTTGCACAACCGTCTCACAAAGTGTCTAAAGGACGATTTTAAAATTTATAAAATAATAACAAATATTGTTCCACGTACCACTCTGTAACAGAATGGGAAACTATCAATTAAACGAAAGGCACTAAAATAAATAAGATACAATGAAATGAATAAATACAACATACACTTCCTTGGCACGCTCTACAAATCATACATCCAATGATGACGATCCAAAGACCCATGAATATCCAGTCAAGAGTGGCCATAGCAAATGCAAACGTTATAAGACTTTTGTCACAATTCCCCTCCGTACAGTTTGTTGTTATGTTGGCGGTACATTGTACAAAGTCGTCCGCCGTAACGGTGTTGTAGTTAGGGTACACCCAGACACTTCCTGGAAATTCAAAATGTAAATATCTGATATAAACCTGAAAGTCGATAAATTTTTATGATGAACATGTAATAATCGTTTAGTGAAGAGGACCAACAAACATCTGTTCAGATGAGCGCTCATCTATTATACATGGATTATCATATTCTTTCTACGGTCATTCGAACTGTACATCTGTTTTGACTTGTACAAAAGTACCGGTAATAGCAGCTTCTGCTTCTTGCTTCTGGATCTACCTTATAACATGTAGCAGTTCAGTTAAACGCAAATATACTAACAAAACAACATACAATAATACTGTTGTTTGAAATCAGATGATTTTACATAGATACTGTTTCAGTCTTAATTGAAATAGACATTTTACCACAGATGAGCCAGGATAGATTGAAAAGGAAACCAATGGCTCCGCAGACTTGTGCGCACATATTTGAGTCTCCATCCTCATCATTACTCTGTTTACCCATCCCACCAAACAGGATTGGAGCACAGCCGCTTACAATAAGCCAGATTGGTATAAGATATTCAATGCTGCAGTCGTGAAGGTGAACTGCCCCTAGAATATAATTTAAAAATATAATGTTCAATATCTTTATTATTGGCATTAATCTTGGACAAAATATAACGGATCAAGCAACTACTGAGTGGATAAATGTCAAATTGACCACCGATAGATTGGTAAACGTGGTGTTTAATTAATATATCAAAGCCATTATTGTAAAGAAGAAAGAAAAACGCCGACGAATTTTAATAAAATCATATAAACATCATTTAAAGGCAAATATTGCCTCAAAAATCTATCAAAGTTATTTAGGTTATTTATAAATAATTATTGTTATGAAAAAGTTGATTTGCTAGTATGCGCAGCTTCATTGTGATAAAACGAATATTTCTTCTGGCACGATGCGCAAACCGAGTCAAATATAGGTTTTGCAGCTGTGTACGTATCGAACAGAATCTGTATTGTACTCAATAAGCTGAAATGACCTCTTTCACATTTACCAATATTTTGACATTTAGCAAAACTTTGTGATTTAGTACTACAAGGATTTCTATTGGAGATTTTGAATTTTTCAAAATATAACATTTTGAGCGGAATACAATTATAGTGATTTTATATGTATTTGTGGACTCGGCAAATGAAAATAGACTTGTTAGAAGGCAATAATGATTGGATATATATTTTTTTGGACTTGATAAATATAAACGAGTGGATCCTTTAATGATTTATATTGGGATATCAAAATTGTGGGATCATATCACATTGTGAAAATGCTTGAAAATGATTGATTACTTTTAATAAGTTTTGAAATAAATAAATAAATTTATAAATAAATAAATAAATAAATGAATAAAAAGGAAATAGATAAATGAATAAAATAGATAAATAAATAAATAATTGTCATTTACAGAATACATACCCATTACAATTTTTGCTATGCCCAACCCTGCCAACGCAAGCACTAACAGCAAAACAAAACAACAACATGCTGGAAAAAATAAAAAGTCCATAGTAAAACAGTCTGCATTGTGTACTAGTTCCATAACATAGTTTATTTACGAGACTAAAATGTCGCAGCCTTTTTGCTTTTTGGTTGGGTTTCACACCAACACAGAAGAGGTCATATTTACGTTTGGAAACAAAACTCAGTTCTACTTCTGTGCATTATTTCATTCACGAGCATGTACATGGGTAGAACCACTGACGTTCCGTAAAGCGTGCTAGATAGCTTCCTCTCATGAACGAATCATAGGTCCCTAGAGGAATTCGTACCCATAATGGTGAGAGGCATGTTCTTTGAAGTTGATTCCTATGCATTACTGTGATTAGTTACCTTTGTAAGAATTAGAAAATGCTTTAAAAAATAACAATTAGTAAGAAAACAATTTCATCATAAACGATAGGACTAAATCACAACTTCACACGTAATGAAAGTCTCAGTTAAGATAGAAATAGAGAAATACGGAAACATTAAACGGAATATTACCGGAACAATTGTTCAGTTCATTCTGCCATTTTGTTTTCATTTCTGTCAAAGGAAGGGACGATATTTGTTACATAACAAAGATTTTAAGTTAAGAAATGTTTTAAAAAATACCTACCTGCAGCTCCACAAACTTTGCAGCACTCTAGACCGTCACCTTTACCTTTACCCATTTCTATCCTGGTAGTCACTCAAATGTTAACTAATGTTTTCTTTTTCACCAACTGAAAACATATTAAAAATGAAACGCATCTTCATTGTCTAATTTTGCTCAACTCTCACGTAAGCCGTATACTATGTCATTCACGCACGTAAGCTGTATACGTTGTCAAGAAATGTGCTCGACTCACGCGCGTAACCTGTACACGTTGTTAAATAACGTGCTCTACACGCGCACGTGAGCTGTATACGTTGTTAAGTTACGTGCTCAACATGCGCACGTAAGCCGTATACATTGTCAAGTAACTTGCTCAACTCACGCGCTTCAGCTGTATACGTTGTCAAGTATAACTTGCTCAATGCACGCGCGAAAGCTGAATACGTTGTCAAATAACGTGGTCAACTCACGCCCGTAAGCTGAATACGTTGCCAAGTAACGTGCACAACTCACGTGCTTAAGCTGCATACGTTTTCAAGTAACGTGGTCAACTCACGCAAGTAAGATGTAGCCGTTTACGTTGTCGAATAACATACTTTACTCACGCGCGGAAGCTATATAAGCCATAAAAACTAAACAGTGCAATTGAAAACAACTATAACATAATGATTTAAAACATACAACATCACAAACCAAAACATATAAATTCATAAAAATGAAAAAGAAATGACCAAAAATCAAGCGTTCATTGCAAATTGTAAATAAATTACCGTGCTACTGAGTACATGTAGCTCTATTTAACAGAAAACAATTTAACGCGTTCTGAAATAGTTAGTTTGTACTTCAAATACGCGAAAATGTGTATAATGCACGGCAAATTAAATCAACTTATGTGAATGTATCATCAGCATTTTTCTTCTAAAAATAGTAAATGTTTCTTAAAATAGAAATTTGAAATGGGAAACCGAATAATCATATGACGTGAGTGCATTGTTTTTTCGAAAATGGCTACCAAGGTAACACAATATCCAATCTCCATTTCCAAAACGAGAGAACATTTGTTTAACAAGAGGTATTCCTAATATCCAGCAAGGTAAAATGTCAAGATACCGAGATATATTTATGTGAACAATTTACACGGTTTTCTTTTCTTATTTATATTGTAATAACAAATGTATATATCGTTGTACACAAAAACTGTACACGAAGACTGGTCGATATTTCCTTTTATTTTATAATTTAAAGTGCAGTATACTGCAACCCATTGTATCACTTTGTTAAAATATGATAATGCTTAAAAATATATTTGTAAATTAAATATAATTATAACGAATCTTATCTATTTAAATCTGTGCTCGCAAAAGCGAATGGTATGTTAAATGTTGCTTTATCTTCAAATTATTTACAAAACAAGGTGAATAATGTTAAAATGATATATATTAAAATAAAACAACTGTCATATCAAGCTTAATTTTTAATTCGAGTGCGTGTCAAACGTTATGTTCCTTGAAGAAATTACTGTTCCTTTAGTTCCAAAATCACATTTCAAAATAAATGTAATGTATAATTGTATAACTGGTACTAGATTAATATTGATATCACTGGTAAACGTGCCAATTTTTTATTTAAGACAATAAGTATAAAAACACGACACGACATATCTTAACATAGCACGGAACAACACAACACGACACTACAAATTAACATGCCACGAAACGACACGAGAATATGATATCAATGACAAAAAAGTAGTAATATTAAATTTACGAAATATGATATACCTTGTCGAAAAAACACGATATCTTATTAATAAATACTTATTGATGAATATATCATTAAAGAGCACTATTGAACACGTAAAGCTGTGTTTACAAAACGAAAGTGAGTTTTTAAAAAGGATTGGAAAATATACTTGCAAAAGTTTAAATTATAAATTATCACTAACCTCCGATTAATTGTAAGAACTTTTCCCAAATACTTATTTAATTTCTTCACCCGTTTATAAATGAGATTTAAAAGTTTCTTAATCTTAAACTTATTGTCCGATATATTGATTTTGGATATATACCGAACAAGTCATAATAACTAAAAATAGATTATTGGATTCCCACATCAATTTCTTTATCATGGTCGCACCTTGTACATAATATTATTCAATTAGTTAAAACTATACATTATGTGATCTTAATCTTAGATTATATAAATCTCTTATCATTTTCAGTTAAATTTATACTATGCTAATATTTTATTGCAGAAATTTATTGAAATGTAGTAAATTCTCCCTTGATATGTCTGATTTGAATAAATGAATGTATAAATTATGTTTGTGAAGCTGCATTACCTATTTCTTGTCAAATTAATCTGGTCCATTCTTATAAAAACTGCCAGGTTTTTTTTAAATGACACTATGTAATCATACTGTGATTACCTGTAGTGTGTAAAGTTAAAAACATAATTATTGTAACTTCCTTTTGTGGATTCAAAATATGTTTATCTTATGTTTCAAAAGAAACTATAGTAATTATCAGATTTTTTATTCAGATTAATACAAGGAAGAAAAACATTGACCGATAAACCAGTGTGTATAGCACATACTTTCACAAGGTCACGAATGTTCAAAAATATACCTCAAGATTGCTTCATTGTAGGTATATACTATAATTAAACACTAAAATTAGTTCGGTCGTAACACTGTTAAAGGTTAATTGGTACAGCTAGAACGGCTCGTAGTATAAACACTATCACTTAATTTATTCACTACTTGAAAGGGAAATGTGTTATAAACATTAAACTCAATATTGCTTAAATGGATTTGTCCTGTTTTCAATTTGGGGCAGTCCATTCATAATTAAGGGGAAATCAATATTTAAGCAAATAGTATCTTTGAATGGATACTCGGACGAAGAAAAACTGCTGCACATTTTTCCGGGGGGGGGGGGGTCGTGGATGTTTTTGGTCGTCCGGTCATTTTAGAATGTCATTTATAACTCTGTAAATTCTTATGTTGAATTAGATATTCACCAGAGAATTAATGAAAAAATTCAAAGCAGAATATAATATTTTTTAATATTTATTGGGAAGAAATTCACAGATCTCAGCATCGAGTAATTTAACTAGAAAGTGTGTTTCCGATACTCCTTTACATTTTATTATAATTTGGACGTGTAGATCATTATACTAATTATAGAATGGCCCCAGAGAAGTTTCAGATTTCAGTTTGCAATGGCCAATGAAAGTCCTGCTAATATTCAGTTCTTCCCTGAAAGTTTTACAAAAAGGCAAACAGATCTCACACGGACTTCGTCCGGAAGATACAGAAAAGCATATAGCATGGATATAGGCCCATTTTTGCGACGCATTAGAAGTTTAAAGACAATTCCGAGTTAGTTTAAGGTAAAAAGAAATAGAAAATAATAGAAAATAGCCTTTGACAAAACACATAAGGTGCCTGTATAGCTTTTTGGCCAAGATTGCCATAAAATGCATGGAAAGGCGATTGTTTTAGAATTGTTCGATCACGGACCTGGTTTTGAGACAGTTGTTATGAAAAATGAGGAAATATATCTATAAGCAAATAAAGAATGTTTAAATAGTTCATATAAAAACTAAAGAAATTTTATAACATGAAATCGCGGCTAATCGTCATTTTGATAAAAATCAGAACAAGTGATGATGCATTTTTGTTTTCAGTTTATCCGATTTGACTGTGATGCCAAACAGAAAATCCAATAAATATACATAAATGATGTTTCAAATTTTGAGAAGTTAAGAAGGGAAGCAAAACCACACATTGTTTATCCGCTGCCTCGTAACACATTAAAATGCACATCACACTATATGTCGCTTCACAAAATTAATAAACATTGATGATATTGATATTTGTAAAAATTACTTGAATTATGATTTTCATAATTTTACTTGATTAACTATCATGTCTTGGTAGGTTGAATGATATCGAAAACTAGTAGGGAAAAACAGACATACGGTCACGTGTCTATCTGTTTGACTGTGTCAATCCATAAAGAAATTGCAGCACTTTGAAAACAGATTTGATGGAAAAATCGACGCAAAATATTGATTTTGGGCAATTTTGAGATATCCCCTCGTTGCCATGGTAAAGGAAATTCAAGATAACAAAAAGTTTGAACAGTATTGAAGACTTTTTTTAGTTTCATAGCAATTTGAACTTGTAATAGGAGGCTATTCAATAGAAACAGTCATTCAACACAAAATGCTCATGACGTAATGGGTTTATACTGTATTTTGTTCGATTTATTTAAGGCAAGTGGTGCCGTAAATAAGGAACGCATAGATTAAAACTAAATCATCGTTATATATCCTCCAGATACTTGAATTTAAAACCCAAAATATGGATACCTGAAATAAATTGTAATTAGTCGTTCTCAAGAACAAGTTGTTCATTGTTTTAGAAGATTCCAATTCATTTCCAGTTAATATTGCTTATATTTGAAAAATAAACAAATATATAAGGACTTAATCTCTGCATTTTTGTGTGTGCGTGCGAGCGCGCGTGTATGTGCATGTGCGTGCTTGAGGAAGCGTGCGCATAAGAAAGACTAATTGTAAAGAATAATGTTAACAGAATAATATTGCAAGAAAATTGTATACCAGTTAATTATTTTAACACCTTAGTACTGCTCCCCCCATCCCTTTCCCCCGGATGAATAATGGAAAAAATTCCAAAATAAATGTTCAAAAACTTACACTGAATGAAAAATAACATATTTTAAAGGTACAGAACTGCTGATGTAGTATATCGTTAAAACAATCTTCTGTTCTTCCCCCTTGACTAGAACAGTAAGTGAAATATCCACCCTCCCCATTGATACATCTGCTTATCATATACACAGGTCAACCACACCTCGGTACATGGTTTGTTGTAAACGTGGGAAGAATTTTATTTCTGTTAACTTTGACAAATAAAATGTCACTACATTTGTAATGCATGAGAACCTCTGAACATTCGGGAAAAAACTCGCCAGTCACAAATACTATGAGTTTGACCATATTTTATTGCCTGTATACATAGTTTGAGCGACAATCAATTACTATAACAACGCATTCGTATTCTACGTCTTCTCAAGTGTAACTTTAAGTGTAACTTTAAAATGTTTGCTAAAGTTAAATAATACATTATCCATTCATACTGTTTTTTATATATAACAGATTCGTACTTACTATACAATTAACATTTGAATATAATAAGGGCGACAACCCTGGCATGTCATCATAGTTATTTTTTTATTACAGTTTTCTCCCTTTAAAAGTCAGGAATGAAACAATTCTTAAACAGTCGAAAGATTTTAATGTATTTTTAATAAAAGCTTGACTTTCTTGTACTTAAATAAGTCGTATCGTTATAAACAATATTAGAATTATCTTTATTTGTTTTTTCTGAGAAATCAGATAACTAAATTTCATTTTCTGTGATACTATTTTATTGTACTATATACACAGGAGTTTTGTATTTGAAATTTCAAAAACATGATATATACACAAAAGTTCGGGTTTTACGTTATTAAATCCTACGTAGAAGTTAAAAACTCCTAAGTAGGGTTTTCTCTCCTACGTAGCAGTTAAAAAAAACACAGTTATTAACTCCTATGCCGGACTTTGGAAACTCCTACGCCAGAGATACAAAAGCTTAATTAGGAGTTTAAAACTCCTTTGTAAGAGTATATTATGAATGATATCTGAATGACTCATACTTTGGGCATATTTTTGTTTTACTTGTATGGGTTTCTGAAAGCCATCACAAGGATATAAACTGGTCCGAATCAATTAAAACCAGTAAAATGTATTTTATTACAACAAATAGCAGTCGTTGACCTGTGTACGTTGACAAGATAAGTAGTCATCAATTATTAAATGTATTTATTCAAATGATCTCATAACTGTCAAACATGGAAAAATAAGGGGAAATCTACAGACATTAATTTTATACGTTTTACAGTTCACACAACCGGCCTTGACCGAAAATTTCCAGCCGATGATTTAAACTGTTGACTGTTTGCCCTTCACCATCGATGGTTTTTAGTCAGGGACTTCTTACATTTGAGGAATCTATCCAGCAAGCTTGAGCCTACGTCACATTACAAGCAGGACCGTCCGAGAGGGATCGGTGGGACAATGTTGATATTTGAGATCGGAGAGACGGAAAGGAAAGGGCGGTCATTCACCCTCTGTTGGGGTGTTTTCCGAAAAGTACTCGCCCGGTCACCTGGCATTATACGTGAGGTCGATATAAGTATCGACCAATAAATATGATTAATTTAAAAGGTATTTGGATTAATTTTAAGTATTGGGATTGATATACTTTTTTTTTAATCTGGGATATTTTCAAGGTGAGAAATGGTCTCGAAGTAAATTGAATAAAAATATATCAAAAAATACTTGTACGTTTTTTTTAAGTAAAAATCAAGTCGCAAGTTAGAATATCTAAAAATTTCCCTCAACATTTTTATTACATGACTGCATTTCCATTCATTGTTCATGACTGTACGAGTAAGGCATTAACACACCTGATATTTTATGTGTTCTGTTAGTAAAATATCGGATGAAAAAAGAAGATGATTTCACCACTATTTTTCTTTTAATTATTGCGAGTCATTAATATTTGTTTTACATTTTAAACATATGTCTATTTGACTTACGGCAACATGTACTCTCGTAAAATCTCATATCAGAATTAAAGGCAATTTGATAATGTCGTCGCAATTCCTTTACAACAGAAATCGTGTTTAAAGACCTCTTTTGAAATCAAAGACCATGTGTACAAATATCCTCATCATTATATATTTTTTAGAATACAGTACAGATAACTTAAGTTGTTTTAATCATATATTTTTATAATATTCCGGGTTAACTAATTATATACAGGTTTAACTAATTCTACGGTTTAACGAATTCTATACCAGTTTAACTAATGCTCCACCGGTTTAACCAAAAAAATATTCTATACTGGTAACTATATATATACCGGTTTAACTAATTATGTTCATAATTCTCTACTGGTTAAACTAAGTATGTGCCGGTTTTACTTATTATGTACAGGTTTAATTAATAAAATGGCAGTTTAACTAATTATGTTCAGGTTTAACTAATTCTATACCGGTTTAACTAATTCTATACTGGTTTAACTTATTCTATACCGGTTTAACTAATTCTGTACCAGTTTAACTAATTCTACGCTGGTTTAACTAATTATACACCAGTTTGAGTTATTATTTGAGGTTTAACTAATTCTATACCGGTTTATCTCATTCTGTACCGATTTATTTACTTACATGTATATACCGGTTGCACTAATGCTGTACAAGTTTTTACTAAATATATACAGGTTTAACTAAATAAATACAGGCATAACTAATTATATGCCGATCTTACTGATTCTATACCAGTTAAGCTAATTTTGTACCGGTTTTACTAATTCAATAGCGGTTTTACTAATTCTCTATTGGTTAAACTAATTTTGTACCGGTTTAACTAATTCTTTGGGGTTTTACTAATTCTGTACCGGTTTAACAAGTTCTGTGCAGGTTTAACTAATTATATACAGGTTTAATTAATTCTATGCCGGTTTTACTAATTCCGTACCGGTTTAACTAATTCCGTACCGGTTTATATAACTAATTCTATGCCCGTTTTACTAATTATGTACAGGTTTTATTAATTAAATGCCAGTTTAACTAATTCTATAGCGATTTTACTGATTCTATACAGGTTAATCTAATTATATACAGGTTTAACTAAATAAATGCAGGTTTAACTAACTATATGCCGGTTTTAATAAGTCTATACCGATTAATCTAATTATTTATATACATGTTTTACTCAATAAATACAGGTTTAACTAATTCTATACCGATAACTAATTCTATACCAACGAGTTTAACTAATTTCATACCGGTTTAACTAATTGTATACAGGTTTAACTAATTCTCTACCGGTTTAACTAATAATGTGCATGTTTAACTATTTTTTTACCGGCTTAACTAATTTTTCACCGGTTTAACTAATTATATACCGGTTTAAATAATTATATATCAAATATATACCGGTTAAAGTAATTCTATACCTGTTTTACTAATTATATACAAGTTAAAGTTTAGTTAAAAAAGAATACGTGTATGTTCCAGTTAGAACTCTATTTGTTGTGGATGAATTTTTACCGATGACTACAACATATACCATATTAATTAGATTGGTCTGGCTGCAATGTATGTTTTGATATAACTTCATAGTGTCTTTAATATTCGTAAACTAAAGAAATTAAATTGCCTTTTAACTTGCCTTTTACTTGTCTTTCACTTGCCTTTCACTAATAAATGCTATTTAAACCGGTGATTTACCGCAGATAATAATTGTCAGTTGATAAATATTTTTCTTTTCTGTTGAGAATCATACTGTTTAAGGATCAAACGATTGTGGTTTTAAATTAATATTATAAACCACCAATAGATGAATGAATAAACTTGATAACACTCTCCGTTAAGTGTCGAGATTACTAAAAAAAATCGCAATAAAGAGCGCAAACCGGTCGACTCTCGAGGCCCTTATACGAAAAATGGACCGAAAATGTGACGGTTTTCTTTCTCGTTTCTCATAGCACACAGAAAAATGTTTATGTTTATATGATCCAGAGACATTGAACACTCGAAAATGTACTTTCAGAAGCAATGACGTTGGTGACATTTTTAATTAAATTTTGTCGTTACTAACGTCATTTTGTTTTACCATTAGCGTGCGCCGGATTGCGTACCCTTTGTTATTTGAAATCTTCACAGAATTGTTATTTGTAAACATATTGTGTTAATTTTTTCACTGTATGTTAAGGACATGTTCCATTATTTGTCTCTTTTAAAATCGTGTACGCAAATTAAAAAATGTGAACAATAAAGCTGCAGTTCACGAACTTTTTGAACAGCCCTCGTAAATACTTAAAAATCAGTCATTAATCGCACATAATATTTAAAATATTACTTGAATCTTGAAACTTTTTACTTTTCCTTACATCTTAGTACATTTTTCTCCAGTTTTATTTCATTGAAATATTTTGACTCAGCTGGAGGCATGTAGCTTTAAAAAGACGCTTAAAGTGACATTATTTCAAGTTTTGCTGAATTTACTTTATTTTTCAAAAGATTGACTGTCAAAATGGTGTTTGACCAACAGTTGATATTGGAAAAACCTTAGGATAAAATTATATATCTGCCTAAAATTTAAAAGACTGCCTCACTCTTTTTATAAAATAAGCGTTATAGGTAAATTCTTATGGATATTTACAGAAATTTTATTTGGATATGTGCCTTATTTATTGTTTATGCGAGCTTAATTATTAAATTAAAAGGAATTGTGGCAAAATGAAAACTTATTTTGATTTTCACCCGTTTACACACTATATACCCTTGGATGGGCATAATGTCACTTTAAATTAAGGTCGACGTTAATTAGATGTCTTAATTTGATGAATTAATTGCGTGTTTACATAGGTTTGCGCGACCTTGTGGTTTTTAGGGGAATTTTCTTGTTTGTATCTGACGCAATGTGTGTTAATATATTATACACATGCGCAGAATGTATTCTAAGGAATACACGGTATTTAAAGAGATGAATTATTTTTTTAAAGAGCGTCAGTTCTTTAAGCTTAATTAATGGTGACAAATATCGGGAGCAAATGGAGGAAGAAAAATATGATGTGAAGGAATGTTGCAAAGCTTGTTGTTTAGCTTGTAAGTATGAAATATCTTTTGAAACATAAAGGCCCATTATGCCTCATAAAATGTTGGTGTTTTTTTTTTAGTTTCCCTAGAGCCTTTTAATTTTAGTGTACTTACTTTTCGCCTGTTGCAATTTTTACAGTTATAATGAATAAGTATTTTGTATGGAACTACTTTGATAACATTTTGCTACTTATATGACAGGTAATGCTACATTAATCTCTACTTTCTTCAAGTAACAAGCATATAACTTTCTCTTAAATTATTATTTAAACATTATAAAACTCATGTTTGTCCTTTCCAAAGAAGTAAAAAATTAATTTGTTTTATGGCATAATGAGCTTTTAATGAAATTTGGAAATAATGATAATGGAAAACGATGAATATCCATTTTATAAGAACATGTATATGTATAATTGTAACCACCAAGTGGTGTTGATCAAATTTGCTACTTATAAATTAACTGTCAAATAAAAATAAGAAATGCGGCTTATTCTATTGTAAATCAGATGCTTAAAATAATACTGCATTTAGAATATGCAATCTGCTTCATTTTGATTAATTTTATGTAATTTCAGTTTGAACTATAAGTAAATGCATGAGAAAAACATACAAATAAAAATAACTTGGCATAACATTTCATAAAGACCTTTTTGTTTGGTAAATTTTTTCTTTAGACACCTGAATATCCAATGACCTTTCGTAGGTAATTATCAGATTCCGGGGGAAATCATACGTATTTTAATATAATTATGATACAAATGTATAACAGGACATACGTATAATTTGATATCATTAGTTTATACAAATTTATTTTAGTTCGATTGTGTTGGAAGCTATAAGCTTATTGAAACACTCTCGTATACTTGAGTTTTAGCCTCAATATAGTTACAGTGTCTAAGAATTTCAAATCCGAATCTTATAAAATGTGTAGTTTTTTTTTTAAAATATGTTTTCTTACATATTTTTTATTGTATATACACGTATAACTACAAACGAGGTTTTTACACGGACACGTAAAATGGCAGCGAAGGAATGTTCACCTATGCGCTAAACCGAACAAAATGCAATATTAACGAATGTCTTTTTCGATTTGCGCAGTTGTGAAAATTGAAATAAAAGGGGAAGCGTAAAGACACAGAAATTCCATTATGTTCATACATGTACTCGTTTTATGTACAGTGACGAGCCGGGTACGCTTTAGTCAATACCGTAAGGAAAGCTAAATTATAACTGTACAGAATGAATCCAATGTTAAACATTTACCCTTCAAATGGATATTGCATAAAAAATCAAAAATCCCTGTCGGGATTCGAAACCACAACTGTGAGGGGCAAGAAGTTTGAAGTCAACGACATTAACTTTTCGAACGCGGACGTTCGTTTTTAACAATTTTTTAATGTTTTAGTATACATGTGTAAAGTTAACAAAATGTACCATGTAAAAAAGTTGTAAACACTACATGTCATAGTCTCTCATAGTTTATTATTGAACGGTTTAATACATTTCTTTTTCTTTCTTAAAAGACATGCATAGAAGTGAGTTTTAAATAAAATATTTTTGTTGTTGCTTTTGTTGTTGTCGATTAGTTATTATTTTTTGTCGTTGTTTTTGTTATTGTTGATTCAACCATTTTTGTTAAAGTGTTTTACCTACATTTTATTGTAGCATGTGGATGCCTGATTACCGTTATAGCCATCGGATTAGGTGCCCTCGGAATAGCCAAGATTGTTATGGGTAAGTTATTAGCAGTCATCAACCTTTAGAAGATATAGTTTGTATTTTAGCTGGTAACATGCTCCGTAAGTAGAGAGATGAATGTCGATTTTGGACATATAATATAATTACGTTTTTAACTTTTCAAAAGAATATATCCAATAACTGTGTATCTTAGTTTGGGGACCTTTCTCACGCCCGTTTAACTCACAACGAGTGTAAAATGTCCATCGGTAACAATGTTGTGAGCAACTTCCGTTCCTCGTTGTGAGCACCCACCTAGGACGTGTGACACGATAAACAAGGTGAATTTTTCATAATTTTTGAAGATTGCAGACATTTATGTAAAAATATCGGAATGCAGTTAGCTAGCGATGTGTTTTCCGAATATGCACATGTAAAGATATTGCCTGTTGGTAACCAATTTGATGGAAGTACCGTGCGACGCAGTCACTCGGGGTAGCTGGAAAACTGGAGACAACTTCTCTCCGGACCAAATTTAACATTGAAAACGTCGATTCTGGTGACGTCTTGTGCATTCTAACCTAAAACAGATGCCCACAAGTCTTCAGCGTAAATTATTACCTGAAAGTCTTTATAGAATCGAAGATATACCCTTTTTTGCTTTAATCCTCAATGTGAGCACCATAACCTCGAGCGCAGTGCTTGTCTGGTTTTAATATGTAATTCAGATGGTGAAAATATAATTTTCAATCTACCAAAGCAATTAAAACGTTTTTGCACAGCAGCATTTCTTTGCAAGACGTTGTGCATACCCCGAAGGGAGGCATATTAGTTTTGAACTGTCCGTCAGTCCGTCCGTCCGAAAACTTTAACATTGGCCATAACTTCCTTACTAGTAAACGGATTTGATTCATATTTGAACACAACATCCCTTAGCACAAGACCTTCCTATGGACCTGTTTTTTTTTACATTGACCCCTGAATGGCCTTTACCTTGAGGTCAAATTGTCCAAAAACATTTAAGATTGGCCATAATGACCTTTATATTAGTAAATCAATTTAATTCATATTTAGGCACAACACCTCTTTGGACAAGGCCTTCCAACTGACCTATATTCTTTTGACCTTGACCCCTGAATGACCTTCACCTTGAAGGTCAAATTGTCCAAAAACTTAAAAATTGGTCATAACTTCCTTATTAGTATACGGATTCTACTCATATTTGGACACAACACCCCTTTAGACAAGACCTTCAAACTGATCTGTATTTTTTTACCTTGACCCCTGAATGACCTAGAACATCCAAAAACTTTAACATTGGTCATAACTTCTTTATTAGTAAGTGGAATTAATTCATGTTTGGACACAATGCCCCTTTGCATGTATTTATCCTGAGCTTCATTCATGTAAGACTGGCCAAGTTATGTAGAAAAAGAAGAACTATTGCAAAGAAAAACTATTGTGCAAAAACGTTTGATTGCTTTTGGTAGAATGAAAATTGTATTCTCGCCATTTGAATTACATATTAAAACCAGACAAGCACTGCGCTTGTCTTGCTCACAACGATGTTATGGTGCTCATAACGAGGATTAAACCAAAAAGGGTATATTTTCGTTTCTATGAAGACTTTCAGAAAATAATTTACGCTGAAGTCTTGTGGGCATCTGTTTTAGGTTAGAATGCACAAAACGTCACCAGAATCGACGTTTTCAATGTTAAATTTGGTCCGGAGAGAAGTTGTCTCCAGTTTTCCAGCTACCCCGAGTGACTGCGTCGCACGGTACTTCCATCAAATTGTCCACCAACAGGCAATATCTTTACATGTGCATACTCGGAAAGCACATCGCTAGCTAACTGCATTCCGATATTTTTACATAAATGTTTGTAATCTTCAAAAATTATGAAAAACACACCTTTTTTATCGTGTCACACGTCCTAGATGGGTGCTCGATCACAACGAGGAACGGAATTTGCTCACAACATTTTTACCGATGGACATTTTACACTCGTTGTGAGTTAAACGGGCGTGTTTCTGTTGAAAATGTGACACAGTTAAATCGTATACATATACATGCACAGTGCGTTAACTGGAGTGCAGGTATTAGTTACCCGCACTCCAGAGCATGCCCATTGATTGGTTCATTTTGTCCGGGGTTTACATATTGTGACGACAGAGAAAGGGATAGCGATGGAAATATCATATTCAGATGCTCGTTCATTGGTTACTTTTTGTGGGGTTTCATATTGTGGTATCAGGGAACGTGTTTTTATGTTTGACTATGATACAAAAGAAAAAGAACATCAAAACACTCGGCAATCTGATTTATACTCGGGGGCTACAACCCTCGTACAAATCAGATAGCCTCGTGTTTCGATGCTCTTTCTATTACTTAAAGTAAGATATTTTATACACCAGCGCTGTACTGTCAAACAATTTTTGTACGTTCATATTTACTAGTTTTGACGGCAAAGGAAAACGTTTAACAAACTCTAGTATAAACAATTCGGACAAAAAAGTACGTACGCTTTTTTTACAATAGATTGAGGTTATAATAATATATTATCGAGTGCAATACTGAATTTAATGGACAAGAACACAGCTTTCAAAACTATATATATACTCGTATATATAGTTTTATATAAAACTCCGCTTTAAGGGGAGCTGTGGCCTACTGGTTAAGGTGTCTGCCTCTCAACCTAGAGATTATGGGTTCGAGCCTAACTCGGGTCACGACCATGTTTCTTCACGTGACACCAGTACTTGACACCAGTACTGGTTGATTCCAGGAAGCGGACTCGAAAGTGATTAGAACTTGTTTCGCAATCGAGCTTAATAAATATGTTTAAACCAAAACTATATTGAACAAGGCGCTAGCCGATTAGGGTGTAGTTCTTACAGCTCAGCTGTGTGCGAATCCAATAAAATCAGTATTGTTCTCAACCAATTTTTTGACATTTTGACAGTTACGATTTGATATGGATTTTGGACTCTTAAAACATGGAAACGGGTCTATAAGGGATATGGATTTGATATTGACTTTTCGGACTTAAAAAGATCGCGATGGGGCTATTTTGAATTAATACTAATTGATCCAATACTGATTTCTAGTGGAACATTGTGATGCAAATGCTTAAAGAGCATTTGTTACATTTTATTAGGTGTGAAATAAATCATTATACAGTTTGAACAGCAAAATAACCCTGTTTTAACAATGCACACATTATACAGTTTTGGTAGCAAAAAAAAAAAAATTACAATAGATACATTAATTTAGTGTTTTGACAGCAGAAAAGCTAACACGCTTTTTGACAGTACAAATATCATATAGTATTGACAGCAAAATATCGTTTTTTACAATGAATATATTTGTATACAGTTTGACAGCAACATGGTGCTTTTTGGACAATACATACTGTACTTAATGCAGTTTAGACAACAAAATAACACTTTTTGGAGTACATACTTTATACATTTTGGACAGCAAAATAAGTGTACAATGTAAATAACTATTCAGTAGTATGGACAAAAAATTACCAACATCACCAATATAAACATACACTCAAAACAGCTGAAACAGGTGACGATGTAAAATATTGATCTGAATATTAAGAAATTTCAGTTGTTTTATAATATATTATGTTTACATTATTTGTAATTTTACAGGTGCTATTCATTTGCATGACTGTACCATTGAAGATTTGATTCCTATTTGGCTGATTGTAAGTGGATGTGCTCCAGTTTTGTTCAGTTGTTTCCGTGGACAAAACAACGCTGCTGGCGAAAATAGCTTTGACCTTGCCGGGGCAATCTGTGGGGCAATAGCTTTCCTCTTCAATCTGGCTTGGCTTATATGTGGTATGAATATCATTTATCATTTTATATCAAAATTGCTCGGCTACTTCCGTAAAGCGCCGGATTATTGTTATCGGCATTAACCGCCCCTAAATGAACATTTGTTATTTAGACTTTTTGAAAAAGTAAGGATGTTGACTCTAGTATAGGGATGACTTTATCGATAATTAATTTCTACCATAAGTAACAGCACCCGATTATTTAATCCACGTAAACAAAACGATATTTTAGCGATGTCGATTATCGAAGACTGAACAGCGCGTATTACACAAATAGATCTGACTGACGAGTAGTGAAATATATACATGTCGAACTGTTTGGGCGAGAAGATTTTCGCTAAATTATTTACATCTTTGTTAAACAACAGGTTTCACCGTGAACAAAATTCCTCGAAATTAATAAGGATTACAAATACTAAATGGAAATTCTAAAGTTAGAATGATAAGGATTTATTTATGCCTACTTTGTATAACTGCCCCGTGGTCCAGTGGTAACGCGCTCGTTTAGGGTGTGAGATGTATGGGGTTCCAATTCCAGTCGTGGCTACTTTTTTTTTTCAAACTCAGTATTGCGAAAAATGTACTAACATTTTAAGAAAGGTAAAAACATTCAAGATCCAAGTTATATTTTACATGTTACGCTGTTTAAGACTGATTTTTATTTGTTTGGGTCGTCAGACCAAACAAATAATGGTAGCGAAATTTCAGACCCTGCTGCTGTTAATTGCAAATGCCGAAAGTAGTCCGCTATTCTGAAGCGGTTACTTCCCTTTATATGTACACTAACGCCGAAAAATTCAGGGGAGATCACTTCGTAAAGATTGTCAAATGACAGGCGCATTAATTTTTAAGCAAAACAGTTTCCGGAGTGTCGAAGATTTCTAATATTGTTTTATTCTTTATAGATATACATGCTTATATTAAGCTCCATGATTATTTACATCTGTGTTAAACAACAGGTTTCGAAATAATAAGGGTTACAAACCCTAATTTAGAATAATGTGGTTTTCTTCAGGGCGTTACCATATAACTTCACCTTGGCCGAGGGGTTTGCACGCTCGCTTAGGAAGCATGATGTCTGGAGTTCAAATCCCAGTTAAGGCAACACATCTTTTTAAAAATTGTTTAAGTCAAATAAACATTTAATTGAATAACAGTGTTGCAATTAGTCGTATAGCCAATTTACTACAGTTAAAACACTGGAAACAGCATTGGTGGCACTGTACATAAACAAATTGGTTTATAATCTCACAACCTTCACCTTTCTGACATTCTGAGACCCAAACAAATTCAGTGCCTTCTGTGCTTTGATTCATTATTTTATTATCCATATTTTTATTTTATAAGGGCTGACTTTGCATAACTGTTCTCATGTTATTGAGCGAAAATCGATGCAACTGAGGGACATACGGATGGACGAAAAAACGACAGAAATTTCTATCGGGAGTATGAAAAAAAAACATGCAAATATACAAGCGACTAATTAACCTAATTATAAATGTGGTGATGATAAAGTATTAAATATTTTGGGAATGTTATAAGTGAATAAAACGGTATTTGCTCATGCGGATCAATGCAAAACATTAATTACTAACATTTAATTGTAGTAAGGGGATTTTACGAAGAACGCTTTATCATATAGATTTTATTAAAGTTTAAAAGATACCTAAAGTTGATGAATTTATGGTTTAACTGTAGTTTAGCTGGCGGAAATTTTGATCGAGTGGTTTGCCGTATATGTCCGAACAGGCGTGTAGGTGTTTTCCCTACGCGCATTAATTTAGGTCCTTCTTAGAAAAAAATAAACCGCAATTTAGTTGATAAAATTTATGCAGATAAATTATAGTTACTCAAGCATTTGTATGACACAGGATCATGAAGTATTAAAGGGACTCCACTGAGGTTTGTTGACATGACAGGACTGGAAATAATTTTTTGAGATTATTACTCCATTTGATGTAGATCTATACTAATAACTTATGTGCAAAATTTCAGATCATTAGCTCGCTCCGTTTTTCCAGAATAATTATTATAATAGTGAAAAATCACCCAAAATTGAAAAGCGTTTAAACACTTTTCAATCAAATCGGACTGAGAAAAGCACAAACGTACGATTTTCAATGTGTTTCTTGTATATTTCTTAGTTATATTTAGTTTATATTTCTGTTTAAAGTGCTCATGTTAATTTATGTAAAAAATTAAAATGTTATGTTTTTAGGCTTATAAACCTCAGTGGAGTTCCTTTAAAGTTTTTTAACAAGATGACTGTACTACGAGACTTTTTGTGATCTGCGTTGGGCGGAATACCAATACATTAGACGGTCCTGGTACTATATGTCTGTCATATTGTTTTATATTTGATTTTTTTCTATGACATAAAGTCCGTTGATTCCAGTGAGTAATTTCACTTAAAGGCCCATTTTGCCCGAGAACTGCTTTTATTTTTATTTATCAACAGCTCTTTCTTTTTGCTGTCCTGTTTACGTCAATAAATAGTTATATTCGGTCAATTACATGAACCATTTTATGCTTCTGTTGCTTTTTGGCAATTAGTATAATTATAGAGCTCTTCTATTGAAGCCAAAATACTGTTTTGTTTATGTGACAGGCACCGGTCACATATTCACGAATAACGCCACGGAAGAGCTACGGTCTAACAATTCACGGATTATTGCGGCAAAATGAAATTCCGTAGTCCGCTACGGTAACAGTACGGAAACACAACGGTATGAGTACGGAGTTCGATGGATGTATCGCAAAAATGTAGATAATGCCCCGGTCACATATTCACGGATAATGCCACGGAAGAGCTACGGTCTAATCGTTCACGGATTACTTCGGAAATGTGAAATTCCGTAGTCCACTACGGTCCCAGTACGGACACACAACGGTATGAGTACGGAGTTCGACGGATTTACCACCAAAAGCCCCGGGAGAGACACGGATTGTTACGGACCGACACGGTTTGGTACGGAGCGACACGAATCAGGACGGATGCACTACGGATACACTACGGTCTGCTACGGTATAAGCACGGGTTAGTACGAATTAGTACGGGTCTGATACGGAGAAGAACGAATTGATACGGAGAAGAACGTATTGCCACGGACCTATACGGACCTATTATATCCGTCCACAACCTCTTGCATGCTCATTTTCAAAATGCCTCACAAGAAAAGAACACCTAGAAAACGAATTGCAGAGTTCAATGATTTTGGCGGAGAGGATTCGGCCTCATCGCGTCCGACCCCCGAGACATATCAGGTCCGATTAAAGTGAATTTCGTGAAAGACGCCGAATCCTCAACAGGTTCGGCCATGAGAACCTCATTCTAAACATGAAGGGGTCTTCGTAATAGTCCATCTCTAGTCCATCATCTCCTCTTACCTGATTAAATATGGGGTGGTAATCATTAAAGAAAAATGTTGATCAATACTGCTTCTCTTTTGATTTTGAAATTTGCTGTTCATTTTACAATAACATTAATTATCGTGAATGTTTATGTTTTAAAAATATGTAAAAAGCTTGTTAATTAATCTTATTATCACTCAAGGGCCAGCGTCCGAGGCTTACTTCGTTTTATGTACATATTTACTCCAATTTCACGATCCAAATTAATGTTTGTAAAATATGTAACATTAAATGCTATTCTATTACTTATGAATTGTAGTACGATATTAATATATGTTTACCTCTATGCATGTCATCAAGAAGCTCGACCACTGCCTCCGCATTCTGAGCTATTTCAATATAAAATTGGTGCCAGTAAATGGCAATTATCATTTATTGAATGTTCACGCAAATATGTCTATTTTAACAAGAAGGTAGTATTTATACCCTTGAAAAAGCACATGATACTATTAAAATATCCCACATATGTAATATAAATCCGTGTTTATCCGTACTAAACAGTTGTGGACCGCACCATTCCGTACCGTTTCGTGTTGCAACGCAATAAACCGTATAAGACCGTGCTAATCCCTGCCTCTCCGTAGTACAACGTATTACGATCGTAGCTTTCCGTGACAATGCCGTATTAATCCGTATTAAAACCGTAGCTTATACGTAGGGTAACCGTACAAATACGTAGTTCTCCGTACCAAACCGTGGAAATCCATAGCATGTTGAGGCCTACGAATCAGTACGGACTAGTACGGTTTCCGTACGGACCAGTACGTATCAGTACGGTTTAATACGGACTAGTAGGGATACGCTACGGTTGATTTTTCCGTAGCAAATTTTTGTGCATGTTTAAAAATTGTCAAGGATCGCTACGGATATACAAGGTCTACTACGATTGATTACGGTTACAATACGGAGAGCTACAGACCAGTACGGGTAGCTACGGACGATGCCGGAATTAATCCGTGGCTCTTCCGTGTGCGTATTCCGTGAATATGTGACCGGGGTATAAGGCTCGGGAGGTACACGGATTGTTACGGTCCGACACGGTTTGATACAGAGCGACACGAATCAGGACGGACACACTACGGATACACTACGGTCTGCTACGGTATAAGCACGGGTTAGTACGAATGAGTACGGTCTGATACGGAGAAGAACGAATCGCCACGGATCTATAGATACGGACCTAATATTACCATCAATAACTTCTTGTGTGTTCATTTACAAGAAAAGAACATCTAGAAAACGAATTGCAGAGATCAACGATTCTGGTGGAGAGGCCTCATCGCGCGAGGCTCCTGAGACAGGTCCGATTCTACTGAAGTTCTTGTAGGACGCCTGATCCTCAGCAACAAGTTTGGCAATGAGAGCTTTATACTGGCCATGAAGGGGTCTTCGTAAAAGCCAATCTCTAGTCCACCAGCTAGTCTGTCTTATCTTACCTGATTAAATATGTTATCATTAATGAAAAATGCTAATCAATAAATACTGCTTCTCTTTTGAGTTTAGAATTGGCTGTTCACTTTATAATTACATTAATAACCGTGAATGTTTATGTTTTAAGAAAATGTAAACAGCTTGTAAAACCTATTATCACTCAAAGCCAGCGTCCGAGGTTATGAGACACTTCGGTTTATATATATATTTACTCCAATTTCTTGAGCCAATGTTTTGTAAAATGACCTTAATGTTATTCTATTACTAATGCATTGTAGTACGATAATATACTTTTTACCTCTATGCATGTCATCAAGCAGCTCGACCACTGCTTCCGCATTCTGAGCAATATCAATATCCAGTTGCAGCCAGTTAATTGCAAACATCTTTTATTGAATGTCCATGATTATGTTCGCAACATGGAAACGCAAAAATATCTGTTTTTAACAAGAAGGTAGTATTTATACCCTGGTAAAAGTACATGCTACTTAATTTATTCATACTAAACAGTGGTGGACCGTACCATTTCGTACAATACATAAAACCGTATAAGACCGTGCTTATCTCTGTCTCTCCGTAGTACAAAGTATTACGATCGTGGCTTTCAGTGACAAAACAGTATTAATTCGTTTTAAAACCGTAGCTTATACGTACAAATACGTAGTTCTCCGTATCTAACCGTGGAAATCCTTGACAAGTTTGGGCATACGAATCAGTACGAACTGGTACGGTTTTCGTACGGAGCAGTACGTATCACGGAGTAGTTGGGATACGCTATGGTTGATTTTTCCGTAGCAAATTTTTATGCATGTTCAACAAAAATTATCAAGGATCGCTACGGATATACAAGGACTTCTACGATTGATAACGGTTACAATACTGAGAGCTACTGAAAAATACGAACGATGCCTGAGTTAATCCGTGGCTATTCCGTGGTCGTATTTCGTGAATATGTGACCGGGGTTTTACATTTTGCTACTTTTGTGACAAATAATTTTACATCCAGCGCTATTTTATTCAGGCGATAAGCATTTAACATTCTCTAAAACCATTATTTAAACGTTATCAAATTCATATTTACCATTTCTTAAGAAGGAAAAATAAATGGTATAGTGTACCTTTAAGGAAAAATATTGATACTCTCCTTATACATTCTATTGGTTTTCCGCCCATCGACAATCACAATCACAAAAGTCACGTACGTGGTATAAGCAAGTATAATTTGAATTCTTATGACTTTTTATAGATAATTACAATTTTGTTTCATATTTTGAAATCGCTATTCATGTACGATGGAAATGTTGTACTTTTTCAGGCAGCGTTTGGGTATATCCCAACTTTGGTACGATAATTGCAGACGACTTCATGCCATGTACTCCAAAAGTCACGTCAAATTGTACACAAGGGAACTGTGACAAGAGCCTAATAACGTTTGCCTTTGCGATGGTTACGGTTGACTGGGTATTAATGTGCATCTTGATCATTAATCTTGGTTTATACATTGTCAATAAATTCATGTAGGACTTAGAAACACAGCTGCACTTTAATAGTCTAATTAGACATGCATTCAGTGTAAAAAATAAAATCATGGCAAAAGATTATACAAGAAGTTTCTATTGTTATTTCAAACATGCACATTTTAATTAAATGCCATCCCTAATATAATGTAATTTCGGCATATTTCGCAATTTTCATATTAAATAAGGAGCAATGCAACACTTAACAGGCCATCTCTAAAGCCTCATGTTCAGAAAAAGTACTTAGTAATTTTTTATCAACTCACTTCAATTAGTAAAGTTGTTGACCCGGAATTTGACTAAGAAGCTTGGGATTTGCGGAGTTACTTCTTAAAATGACCAATGTAAACAATTCACATGAATTGCTATTTTCTTAACTCTAATTATTGTTCTAATGAAATAATTCATTTCTAAATGATTTGATTGAAAAAATACGTTTTTATTTATTTATTTATTTATTTATTTATGGTATATTTTTTATTAACATAGCCCTTTTAAATGACTCATCGCTACTGAAATATCGCCCTAGCGCAAATATAATTATATTGATAGCATTTTATGACTGCCCCACCCCGCAAAAGTCGTACGAATACGAATATGGAGTCTAAAAATTGCATGGTGGTCCAATATTTACCCATAGTGCAATCACTGACAATTTCATAAATAGAGAAAGTCATACTTTGACATTTTTCCGCAAATTCAAAACTTCTGACACGTTTTTAGCAGCTATCATTTTTCGATATTTAACATGGAGGATCACAAATGCGTACAAAGCTATCACATTCTTTTAAAAATGCTGCTCATTTCCTACTCACAAACAAGAAAAGAAAAACAATCAAACAAACATATCAGAAGATTTCAAAACACCGTGTTAGAAATAATATTTCACCAGGGCCAAATAAACAATACGTCTAATTAATAATAGATGAAAAATTATTGATGTTAAGGTGATACTTCATTCGGAACAGGTTGCCGACTACCCATCATCATTACTAGAAGATTAACGTAACAATTGACGAAAAATTCAAATTTAGTTATCTTATTCATAAGGATTACAGGCCTAAATTAAAATCATTTGGTTTGCCTCTGACTTTTGCCACGTAACTATATTGAAAGCCTGTGGTCAATCCGTCACGCTTGCTTTGGAATGAACTTGTTATACAGTCGCTACACTGAGATAATACATAGCCACTGGTTGACCTGGTTTGCACAAAAGAACACGTGCTTATGTTTGTGAGCAGTAGACCTATATCAATGAATGGAAAAGGTGTGGCTAAATGTTCCGCTACGAAAAACCGGAACGGTCCAAGAGTCCATATCTTTCAACTATTATAGCGTATATAGTTACCACTTGTTGATTGTGATTAAAGTTTTATTTCATGGATACAAAATTAACAAAAAGATTGAGATTTTACATCTATATATAAGTATGTGAACTTATCTTTTATTACATTTTTCTAATATTCTCTTTCAAGTTTGAGACAACGGAGCTAAGTCCGTATGTCATATTTGTGATATCATTTCAAGAGTTGTGTTTCTTCTATCATCCAATAGATAAATACAGAATCCCTAAAGAAAGCCCAACACGGCAAAATTGAAAATGTTGCAGGCTCGGTTTGATTGAGCCTGTTCATGGACGGTTCTATCATCCAACATTCGTTTTCATTTACTGTAAAGCAAACGCAATAACAATGCTTTGATAACAAAAACCTTTATTTATATATTTTTTAAGTAAAATACTTAGTAATACAACGCTAAACACATAGGCACAGAAGATCAAATAGTTTTTTAAGAAATTGTATTGTGCCGGCCAATGTCGTCTTTAAGCTACAGTCTCACTGACATCCCGGCAGAGCCCCGGTAGACGTCCGGGTGATCCGAGAACGACGGGGCACGACCGGGAACAGCCAGGGTACATCCGTAACTCTGCCGGCAACGTGCGGGATGATCAGGGAACATTCGGCATTCGACCCCGGATGGAATAAAATATTCAATATCACCGGGGTGGTCCGGGATGATCCGGGAGGTACATAGCTTTGCCGGCTTCATCCTTAATTAGCTCTGCCGGGAACGACCGGGGTTACACCGGGGAAGCACCGTAGCTCTGTCGGCACTAACCGTTTATGATCCGGGGTATGATATAGCCGGTAGAGCTACGGCGTTGATGATCCGGATTATGATATAGCCGGTAGAGCTACGGTAGAGCCCTTGTGAATGCCGACAGAGCCCCGGTGAATGCCGGCAGAGTCCCGAAGGATGCCGGTAGATCCCCGGAGGATGACGATGGAGCTATGGTTGATCCCGGTAGAGCCCCGGCAAATCCCAGTTCATTTAAAGCTACCGTCACACTAACATCCCGGCAGAGCCCCGGTAGACGTCCGGGGTGATCAGGGAACGACCGTGGAACCACCGGAGTACATCCGTAACTCTGCCGGAAACGTCCGGGATGATCTGGGAACATCCGGCATTCAACCCCGGATGGAATAAAATATTTAGTATCACCGGGGTGGTCCGGGAAGTACTTAGCTTTGCCGGCTTCATCCTTAGCTCTGCCTTGAACGACCGGGGTTACACCGGGGAAGCACCGTAGCTCTGCCGGGGATGATCCGGGGCATAATATAACCTGTAGAGCTACGGTAGAGCCCCGTTGAATGCTGGCAGAGCCCCGGTGAAGGCCGACAGAGCCCCGGAGGATGCCGCCAGAGCCATGGAAGATGAAGAGGGAGCTACAGTTGAGCCCGGTAGAGTCCAAGCAAAGCCCGGTTCATTTAAAAAGAATCACGACAATTTGCGATGATTTCACTTTAAAGCCCTTCCCATTTCCCTTTTATCCAGTCTTGCATAAGGATTTTCATAAGTCATCATGAATTACTGTTTTGGATCAATAGATATAATATTAAATAAATTTTATGTATCAATGTAATCATTCTTGCGGGTTTTCAATCCACCGGGGTTCTACCGGGACTCTGCTGGATCGCCCTGGGCTCTGCCGGGGCTCTGCCTGGATCGACCGGGGCTCTGACTGAGTCAACCGGGGCTCTTCTGGCGTCATCCAGGAACGACCGGGGAAGCACCGGCATAAACCGTAGCTTCACCTGGGCTCTGCCTTGATGATCCGGAGCGCATCCTGGGTGGTTAGTCGGGAATTGCCATAGTGCTGACCGCAACAACAATTTCACCCCGGATCGTCCAAGATCATCCCGGTAACTTACCGGGGTGTTCCTGCGCTCTGCCGGGAGTAAGTGAGACCGCAGCTTAAAAAGAATCTCAACAATTGGCGATGATTGCAATAATTTGTATTAAAACCCTTCCAATTTCCCTTCTATCCAGTCTTTCATAAGGATTTTTCAGAAAATCATCATGAATTACTATTCTTGAACAATAGATATTATATCAAAAACAAAATATGTATCAATGTTATCATTTTCGCGCGTTTTCATGGAATGGAATGGCACTACTGTGTCACATTGAAGGTTCCATGATAACCGCCGTATGAACACATCTGCGGATGTTTCTAAATTCCAAATTTTACCATTTCATGTTTAAGTGTTGAATTCTGCTTAAGCCGGTGCTAGGGGGCGTGGACGGTAACATGCACTTTCCAGTACTGTCCGTGAACAGGCTCAATCAAACCGAGCCTGCAACATTTTCAATTTTGCCGTGTTGGGCTTTCTTTAGGGATTCTGAATTTATCTATTTCAATCCACCGGGGTTCTACCGTGGCTCTGCCTGGATCGTCCTGGGCTCTGCCTGGATCGACCGGGGCTCTGCCTAGGTCAACCGGGGCTTTTTCGGCGTCAACCGGGAACGACCGGGGAAGGACAGGCACGAACCGTATCTTCACCTGGGCTCTGCCTTGATCCGGAGCGCATCCTGGGTGGTTAGTCGGGAATTGCCATAGTGCTGACCGCAACAATAATTTCACCCCGGATCGTCCCTGATCATCCCGGTAACTTACCGGTAATCCCGGTAACTTACCGGCATGGTCAAGGGCTCTGCCGAGAGTAAGTGAAACCGCGGCTTTACGTACAGTCGACTCCGCCCAGAACAAACTCGAATCGTTCGTTACTTCCGAGGTTAACTTAATGCTTGTGTGGGCAAATTTGTCATCGAAAAGACATAACTTACCTGTGCAATCACTTGATTAAATAATTATCAGATAGCGGTATTTTGTACGGTACTGATCTTTACTGGAGCGCATGACGATATTTCAATTATAAATAGTTTGTTTAACCGAGGAAATTAACGTGTTTTTCGCTGTTTAGACTTGAAAAATGGTTTGCTATAGCGGAAAGAGTACGTATTAAGCGATGTGTTTTAATATAACCTAAAAACGAATCGGCCGGGGATTTCCAGATTTAGTTTTCTATTAACGAGTATTCATTATAAGCGAGTCCGTAATAAGTGGAGTCGACGGTATTATACAAACTAAAATCTACATAAGTAAAAAAAATAAACAGATCATAGAGCGGTTCTATAACGAAAGGAAAAGAAGGACTTAATAGAAAAGAAAAAACAACGCGTGAGAGATTCGCTCATCAAATGCATTTTGAAAGTTCGTTCCAAATGGATTCCGTTTTCTTCTTAAGCGAAATACCTCTATGTTCTTGTCATTGATGTATTGGGCTGTCTATCTAGTGTTCTATTTCGTTTAAATGTCATACGATTTTTTGTCACTTTATATGAAGGTTTCTGTCTTATATTCATTTAAAGACCGATATTTTAAAATATTTTGTTGCTCGGTTTTATAACATTGTGTATGAAAGAAACATGTTCTGATTTAAAGGTACATTAGGTCTCAGAAATTCATATATCTTTTATTCTTCAGAAATGTCATAATGTTAAAATAATGAATTAAGATCATGTTAGATGTTTAACAAATCAATGCAATATAGTTCAATTATAGTAAAATAGTATAATAAACTCTTACGTTTGTACGTTTGTCAAATTGCAACATTTAATATCTGTTTAATATATCATCCTTTTAATTCTTGTTTTATCTCAATGTTTATTAACTTATTGACATTCTTTCTGACTTTCATCTCTTCCGACTTTGTATAAACTTATGCGCCCTTAAACAACAAAGGTTACGATCGATACACTTACATTTAAGATATTGTTTTAACTTTTTACTGAAACACAAATCATGCAATGTTTTCAAACAATCAAATTTAAAAGAATTTCTAATTTTATTTATTTACATGATTCCATTAAGCTTTCAGCAGTCTGTCAACAATATTACGTTTTTTTGACAGCACTTTACTTAAGAAAAGGACGGATCGTGATAAGATGTTTAAAGTATGAAACACTGATACCTTAATGGTATCTCGGGGGAACGTCAATTGTCTACCATCGTAAAAATTGTAATAAACGTAAAAGGGTCTTCCACTCTAGACTCTAGTGATGAGCCGTTTTTGAAGTAAACTGTCATTTTGTTTTCATTTTTCTTTCTTATTTTTATTCATAAAACCAATTGATCATTCTTCCCATTAGAATATTGTGTGCTAGGCATAAAGTAATACATCTTTTTGATGCTTTGAAACACTGTAATTAAATATAACGGTTCTTGATTTGTATTTGTAAAGTTTATGTTTGGAATTTATATCTGAGAAAATTAAAAAGAAAGATAGAGAGCATAGCGACGTCATTTGCTGCAAAGACACTTGAATTTTTTTTTTTTTTTTTTAATGCGTTTATTTAAGGTCGCCGCCGGAAAGCCCATATGGGCGACCGTACACTCAAGTCGGGCCATCCTAGAGCGTCCCGTCGAGATTTTTTCGTCGGTTTTTTCCAGCTTTATTGGTGGAGGAAGACCCCAAGTGCCCCTTCGGGCATTATTTCCGGCACGAGCGAGCACCTGGGTAGAACCACCGACCTTCCGTAAGCCAGCTGGATGACTTCCTCACATGAAAGATTTCGACCCGAGTGAGGATCGAACCTACAGCGGTGAGGGACCTGTGATCTCAAGTCAACGACCTTAGCCACGGAGGCCCCTAATTGAAATAAACAATATTTATAATAATATATCTCTTTTTGATGTTGTATGTGTACGGGGGTGCATGCGCATGCGCGTTTATTGAGAGTGCGTACGCATTTTGTTGATTTTTTTATATGAAAACAACGAAAACGTCTTTTGTGTCGCAAATCTAAAGAAATATCCAATAGCAAAAATACACTTGAACAATGTCTAAGAATTCAATTACTGTAAGTTATTCAGTTATATTCAAAATAAGAAAGAAAATACAATATTTATTTCTTACATTACTACGTAATGAGTGTCGTTCAAAATATAATAACTACCTAATAACAGAAAGACTATCATTATTAACTAATATTTCAAAATCTCTCTTCATAATTATTTTATAATTGAAAGAAATCGGAATTTCATTTTAAAATGTTCATATACTAACTTTTTTTGCTGTGAAAACAGATCCCGGTTTTTTTCCGAACCACTGATGTGACACCTGACCTTGGTAAATAAATTATTTGTTCTATTTCTATTGCTACTGCGTTAGTAACGCTAGTAAAGCAGTAGATTACGCCGAGAAGAAACATGATATATTGCCGCTTTTTTTAAACTGTTTTTCTTGAATAAAGATGTCAGTAATAATGGATGTACACATTGAACCATACTTATTCAGTATTGACCGTTTACTTGCACTTTTCTTTCTTTCATTATTTTTCTTTTCTTTTCATTTTTTGTCATTTAACCATCTGGAGGGGAATGGCTTCACAGTTTTATGACATCGCTTATATTGTTGTTGCTGTTGTTCGTTCACATTCTCTCTCGTGTCTTTCTAAGATTCTGATTTAAATATTGTTAAACCATCCATAAACTATGTCAATTAGGTAATAGGACGTAAGGATCTTCATCAGCATATCTGGTCGTTAACTTCATATTTTCGAAAAAGGTTAGCTTAAAAGTGACATTATGCTCATCGTTTTGTTGTATAGTTGAACGGAATTTAAAAAAAAAATAACTATTTTAGCTGGGATTCAAACTCACCAAGCGTTGACAACCTTGTTATATAGATATTTCTACATGTACCTGCAAATTTTACTTTTAAGTATAGAAACATACTGATTTGTTGCATGCAAGTAAGACGTTTTTTCCACCCCGAAACCATATGAATCGGTAAACATCGCCCAGTGTGGAGTCAATCGGAACGTTTTCGGCTATTATCTATAATAATAATCTCGGAGTTAACACGAACTGAAAGTAATTCTACCACGTGGTTTCGAATGTAAACAGAAACAGATAGTGTTATCTTCAAAAAATGTAAAAAGAATCTATATATTTGATATCCAAGGGAAATAATTATAGTCTTTTTTGGTACAATTATGATTGAAAATATGTCTGAGACCCATTTTTAATTTAAATATGCACACTGATGTACAATTTTAAACAAACCGACTTAATGTAAACAGATTGGCATTTTGTACTTTCGGTTTCTACAACCATAATAATAATAAATACATATATAATGTATTGCTTGCTTTTGCATCATCTATGAATTCACTTATTTTAAGTGGAATTTTAGTTGGTATGTTTGAAATAAACTAGTCAATAACTCCCAGCATTAAATTACTGTTTGTTTAGACCGAAATACGTATCCGTTCTGTGTATTTATCCTATTGTGTTCGAGGTCCTTATCCGAAGACTTACGAGAAGGGCCGAAAAGTTGCGATTGGTGTCGGATGATATCTTGATAAGTACGCTTGTGTCACGTGAGAAGGTGTTTTAATGTTACGTCATAATTTGAAAGAATACCAATATGGCCACTCGCATTATCCGTTATGCAGTTTAGATTTGAAAAAGACAAATAAAGGGTCTGTAAAATTTAAATAAAGGGTCTGTAAAATATATAAACACCCCTACTATACAGTGGCTCTTTTCTGTTTACATGAAAGCCCCAACACTTCCGTTGTAGAGCCATCGACCAGACAAAGCTGAAAGAGGTAAAGACACCTTCTAAAAATATCCGTTTTCTAGAAATATGCTTGCTTTTCAAACATCGAATAATGCTGTGCCAGGTCAAACATTTTTCTGATCATTATGTATGCAATTTCGATACGAAATATCACTAGAACTTTTACCAAATATAAACTTGACAATGTGTGTTTCTATTACGTTGGGTCACGTCTTTGGTTTAAACATATTTATTTAAGCTCGATTGCGAAACAAGTTCTTGCAACTTATAATAATCACTTCCGAGTCCGCTTCCCGGAACCAACCAGTACTGGTGTCATATGAAGAAACATGGTCGCGACCCGAGTAGGGCTCGAACCCATGATCTCTGGGTTGAGAGGCAGACACCTTAACCACTAGGCCACCGCTCCTCTCACTAGTCATTGAGTCACGTCTTTATTGATTTCAGCCCATTATCCTAACATTTTCTTTCAGCACAAAAAAAATCACAAAATTGGCACAAAATAAACAAAAAAAAAACATTTTTTCAAATGTGATCGGGCCAAGGACCTGGTGCTGGCGCCATCGATAATATTAAAGAGACCTGGCAAATGTGATAGAACCAACACAACCATTCAATAAACAGCTGATATTGAATGAGTGTAGGTTAAATACTGATTTTATTGCACGAGTTGAATTGATTTATATTATGCGAGCCTTTATACGTGCTTAACGCCACACTTCAACATTGCATGAAAGTAAGTCTTTTATCAACTCATGAAATGTTGTCTATTTATAAATATTATTCGCCAATATTCCATAATATCGACACTAATTAAATCCATCAGATTTGCTAGGGCTATTTCACTTTGCCGACGGCGCCAACACCTTGTCGATTGTTCGATCGATCACTTTTGAATGATATACTTTATCTTTAAACAATATTTTGTGTTGAGCCAAAGGTGAGGTAGGCACAATGTCACATGCAAGATTTCGTATCGTAACTGCATTCCAAATGATGTGAAACGTGTTCTACGTGGCAAAGCATTCTTCGATTTTGAAAAAACAATCATGTTCTTTTAAAACATATATTTGTATTAAGTGTGTTTACCTTTTTCAGCTTTGTTTTGGTTGATGGCTCTGCAACGGAAGTGTCGAGGGCTCTCTTTTAAACAGTTGAAATAGTGAGTATAGTTTAGCCTGACTTCTTTTTTCAAAACTTCCAAAAAATGAAGTAAAACTGTTAAGTAGGGGTGTATTTAAGGAAGGAGTTAAGAAGAAAAAACGAGACAGAAAGAAGTATTTGTTTTACTGATTGTGTATTAAAAAGTTTACGTGATAAAAATTCAGTTAGAAATTCAGTGCAAGTATGCACCTTATTAGTTACATAGTAACACGTACTGTGCATAAAAATCATTTTCAATCTAATCAAACAAATTTTAGTTTTTTATCAATATATTTTTACAATGCTTAATAGACCATGGAGACACTAGACTATGTCGTGAAATTCAAACATTTTTACAAATATAAAATGAATAAACTCATTATAACTGTTACCTTTGTTCTCAATGATATTATAATAATGTTTGGATTGGCCTTTAAAAAATGGCATTTCTATATTGTTACAATGTCAAATATATGGCACACAATATGAGATTTACAGGAAAATACTGCATGAGTTGTATTCTGTGTTTATACATTTTTTTCCTCCTTTTACGTGTATAATGCATGTACAAATAATGATCATTTTGCTATTTATAGCAAGAATAAAATTGCCTGGAGTATCAAACTAACAGTAATTACTTGTCAAACAATGTAAAAGACATTCAAAATCTGTACAAACACATTGCTATTTATATTCTTTTGGTAACATCCTAAAATTCAATGATATTTTAATAAAAAATGTTAATTGTTACTTATCGCACATGACATATATGTAAACATGTATATTCTTCGTTCAACAAATTGTACACTTGGTTACCTAATAATTAATAATGTACATGTACTTGTGTACAATATTGGATCATTTGGTATCAAAATATGCAGAAATGTATAGACCTCACAATGATTTACTTTTAACAGAAACTTGATTATTATTAAAATTTTGGTTACGTGTAAACAACGGAAGAGTGAAAAGTACAAGTTGCAGAATTGTTAACTTTTATGTCTTGTTACATGTACGAGACCAGGATCTGTGGCGTCCATCTCGTCTAGTAATCAACACCAGACTACAAGAACGTATGAACCTGACGAAAGTGTCATATGGAGTCGGCTGAACCGGTATTCCATTAAAATATTCAAGTATTTAAAGGCAAAAACGCATTAACAAAAAGCATATGCAACTTTTATGTTTTCGCTCTCAGCCACTTACTCGTAAAACATTTTTTATAAAAATCGAATTTCAATCAATTGCAAACTATCGTGAACATGTAATAAATATATTTTTGCAAATATTTGATACCAGATATGCTAACATTTTATTTAAATAAATATAAAAAAAATCCATGCAACCAAGTGCACACTTTCTTTTGCAAATGTGTATTTAATAAGACACCAAAAAGTTTAAATGCAATTTTCAGAAAATCTAGTTTTGTGCATGCGCCACCTGCTGCATACGAAAATTACAAACGTCACTTTTTCGATATGTGAACTATTGTATAAAGAGTCAAAGGTAGATTAACTGACCAATCTGTAGTATTTACCAATCACCTGTGACAATGCCCGCTGGTGAACTTGTAATTAAATTTACTTAAACATTTTCTTAAAAACCTTTTCAGTTTTTTAACATGATATCTGATTGCTATTTGTTATCATTAACCGTAAGACACGCCAATGGTCATAAATGGAATTGTCACCAAGGAAGGAGAAATTGTTATCGGTCAACTTCAATCCTTTCAAATGTGTTTAGATATTTTGCAGCAATACGATACACTTGTCGAAATGCAAAATGTTTTATCGATATTGCAACAAATATAATGAATACAAAGAATATATTGAAACAATTATAATATAATTTCATAAAATAAGAAAAAAATATTATGAAGAAGGTGTGCATTTGCAATTAATTCTATATTTGTTTCTTTCTTTGTTACTTTCAAGAACAAAACAATAATATGTGAAGTGAAAATTGTTTACTCCATTATTTACATTATCGATAAACATACGTTTCTTGATTGTGAAACCAATTCAATTAAAACTGAAAGCATATTATTCCCTATGCATTTACTTCTCAATCTCTTTCATTTAAAACTGAATTTAAAACTGTTATTATCAAATTTCGTAATCACGTCTTACTTGAAAATCTGTGCATCTGTATCAAGCAGCAATTCTAATGGATTACCTATCTACATTCATGTAGATTCTATTACAAATCATTAACAAAACTAAAACAACTAAAACAGTAGGGTCCTTACATTTGTGACGGTTTTTAAACATAGTCCATTTCATGCTTTAAGACAAATAATGAAACATTTCATTGTGTGAATGTTTTAAAAGGCCATGACAATGTGGGTTCATCAATTTTCAAACGACTAACCAACATTTCATTATCACGAAAAAGTACAAATACAGAACTTTTCATCACTTGCGTTGTACATATGACAAATAGGCAGACAGACAGATAGACGGATGAGAAATGGTGTTGATTTATGTAATGGTATAGTGCTTGTTGATGTTGAATGCGATTACAGCCCCATTTATCACTGCCACAGTAGCTTCAATATATTTTGCATATTACTATTTCACCGTCATTATCGTCATTGCTGGCTTCAGTATAAAATTTTGATTAAAACCGCTTTTCTAAATATCTTATATCAAACTGGCGCCAAAATGCAGCAAACATTTTATTTGTTGTCTCTTTTCGTGTGTCTCGCCTCATCAATCATACACAGGACATTTTTCACGTTTTTCACGTGATGTTTCTGTTGCCATAGACATCTCTTGTGAAGTGGGTTTTTTTGTAAACGATTTAATCTTTGAAAGTGAATGTATATTTCAATGGCTTTCCATCAACTGACTCATCCATCGTTCCTCCTTCATTCGACATCACCTTAACTTTGCAAGACCCGTTTATCAAATTCCAAAAGCCCAAAAACATTTACAAAATAAGATTAATTCACTTCAATAGAACCTTCAAAAACGTCACTGTCAACCTGTCTTACTTTGTATTCCGCCAACACATAGAACATTATGGCAACAACCAGTAAAATCATCAAGATATATAACTTAAAAGAAACACATAAAAAGGTGCCGCTGAGAAATCCAATTGTCAATCCAAAACTTTGTAAAAGTCTGTAATTTGCAAATGCCACTTCAGCATCCTCCGGGCAAGTTATACAGATTAGAGCTGTAATAGAAAGAAAATAATTGTGAAAAAGGAATCAATGCCAGTGTATAATTAATACTAAATAACAATAAACATTTAAAGGGAAATTCGTGGTTGAGTGTTTAAGATCGTCTCATCCACTCCGAATTGCATGCGCCCTGATTTGCTGTGTGTTCGAATCCCGCCCCGTATTTTAGAAAATTTCATGTAATTAAGCTATCTTATAGGTTCCTGACAGGCCGGTGGTTTCACTTTAGTCCCCCTTCGTGGTTGAAGTAGTTTGCACAGAAACATGAGAGGTCTTCCTTCTCCAAAGATGGGCGCCTTAATATGATAATTACATTGTCAGCAGGACTTGCATCATTGGTTACGGCAAGTTAGTGTTGAAGATTAAACACCACTTAAGCCGGTGATGGGGAGAGGGGTGGTATTGTGCACCATTAAATTATCTCTCGTGAACAGACTCAATCTAACAGAATCTGCAATTATCATATAATATTGTTGCTTCCATTTCTTCCCAGCTTCATCCCTTTTCATATTTTTAAAAAAAGATTCTATCTTATTCAGTCGCAAGAAAAGGGATTTCGAAACGATACCAACAGAATTTCCTACAACTGCGGTGTTATAATTCAACGAAGGTCATCCATATTAAACGCACCTCAAAAAGAAATACGATCGGATACATTATGCTTTATAATAAAGGTAATTATACAATATAAAATAAAATTCGACATTGCTACAACAAAAACAATGTGATTTTCATTTCTAACAACAACAAAAATAAACTTTGGTCCCATACAAATTAAATATGGAATCTGCTGGTGAAACAAAACCAAAACAGCAAGATCAGAATTTCACACATTCCATCACAATATTTGTATTTTCTGAGATAAAAACAATTTTTATTCTTAACATAATTTTTATTCTCTACAGCGTAACCTATGTAGAGCAACGCCCTTTAGGAGAAGTATACTTTGGTTGTTGTGTAAAGGTGTTGCTCTTCATTGATAAAATATCATTCTTTCTTTCAAACTGTAAGAAATATGTAAGATGTAGGAAATTGCTCTTCGTATAGCACAATAAGTACTATTTCCGCATATGTATACTATCAGTGTTATATACAGAGGATCGCAATGCAGAGGTTATTCTATATTTAATTTTCTTGGAACAGTTTTGAAAAAAGAAGTCAGGCTAAACTATACTCACTATTACATTGCGTCTGCCATACGGCATCGCAAACACCCCACGATGCAGCCATTACAAAGAAAATGACTAAACGTGTGTCTGGAATCCAAATCAGTAGGCCGATCATTAAACCCATGTGGATTATTCCCCCTATCCCAAATACAACCTCTCGAGCTATCACATTGGCACACACTGCCACGAGAACTGCGCTGATGACATTAGCCAAACCCAAAATTATCATACAATAGCCGATGTATTCTTCCCCAATAGTACACGTGATATAAGCCTGCAAATATAGCAAATATAACAGTGAATATACGTGTCGTGTACAAGCAGTAAATGATACGTATATGTACATGTGGTTTATAACAAGTACAAATGTTGCTGCAATGCAGCAATTGAGAAGCTCCGCGCAAAAAAAAATGCGCTCATTACAGATACCTTACCAAATTATTCCTACGCACAGGTCATGTTATATATTCAGATTAAGTACTATTGAAGATTTTTTCCGAATGTTTTGTAAACCATTGTTTGCATAATTATACTTATCTTATGCACTGTCCATAATTAAAAAGAGGGGAAAGATATTTAATATAAAAAATGCTTTCACTGATGCCTACCTGGTCAGGAAAGTAATTCCATTGAATACAAACAAGACTTACAAGACTTGTAAATGTTATGTGACATGACTGTACTGTGTTCTGTTTGTGTCACTACTGTAGTCAGTAACATAAGATGATAGAATATCAAAGACTGTTTTTGTATTATTAAAATTGTAACAAATATACAAATAGTAACAAAAGGGACTTATATTATAATATAGCAATATAACATGTATTTTTCATGTCAAATTAAAAAAAAAAGTTTCTTTTAATACTGAAAGTAGAACACACTCTGGAATGAAAAAATGGGATGAAGTTCAAAAAGACCAAATTCAGGTTTTTTTTGTTTGTTATACACGCGTCACATGGTGATACAGTATTTATCAATATAATAGAAGACTGTTACTTGAGTTTTAGGCAGGTTTGAGGAAATTCACTAACATCATGTTCGTGCGAGTCAAAGATATAAAAGCTATTTGACATTTTGACATTGGCGAAATATAAAAAAAAAACTATTGTAAATTGATTTATTGGGAGATCAATATACTTTTTTGTTGAATTGCTTTAGAACTATTCATAAAAACATTACACTTCATGTTCAACTGCAGATCAAAGTTTCTGTCATCAATGATGCTATCTATCTATAGCCTATGCTTAATGAGGGTCCATCCGCTCGTAAGGCCACAAAATGCAGCTTTTGTCACCTGACATACCCTTTGAAGCTGAAAGTCATACCCTTTGAAGCTCAAAGTGGTATGCAATACCAATGACACCAATGAAATGTAACCTTATATACTAAAGTTTAATTATTTCAAAATAACCAATATATCAACATGTTATTATTAAACATTTAATTTCATAAATATAAATTAAGAATAATTATCAAAAGCAAAATTATTAAAGTCTTATGTCTGAAATCTTCATTATATTGACAAATTCATTCACTAATAGTATACTTGATATGCTGTGTGTAAATGTAATTCAAAATGTAACAAATTATAATTTCATGTACTACTAAAAGAGGGAAATAACAAATTTATAACCTAAGTGTCAAAAATCAGAAAATTTATAGCTATTTATAGCTTTCGAATTCATGTACAGCAGAACTGCTTTCCGGTTCTCATTCATTAATATGACATGCTGCGAATCACCGAAGGGGAAACCAATATAGAAATCGAAAGGAGTTCTTGAATGCGGATTTATTTTTAGCTGTATATCGAAGGGATTAATTGATCAAATCCGGGCCCATGGACAAAAAAAAGTAAACACAAATAGCTCCGCGCCTGTGGGCGCGGAGCATTAATATGTAGTTCATGTAGCTTATTACATAAAACATGTAGTTATGTTAGGTAGAAAAAATATTACACCTGCATCAGACAGTGTAACCTTGTCGCAGTAGTTAAACTAGTAGGTAGGGAGGGACATTTTTGCCTTTTCTGTTCGGCCGTATATATCTTAGCGAACAGCCTGCTGGCGACTACAGTTTCTACACATGTGACACGTGCACGCGACACGTGCAGACCAAGATCAGAATGCACACCCAGTCATGAAACTTAATGACACTATGTGTTCACACTGTGCTTACCCATAGTATGGAGAGTTTATAACATTACACATTTCTGTGTTAATTTTACATTAACAAAGAGATTGTATAGAAATTATCAGTATTTTCAAATATCAACCTTTAGCTTAATATATCTTGGAAAAATGACTTGATTTACTATAATAAACATTTGGTACATTTAAAAACAACATTAATTTGAAATATATATTTAAAAGTTATGCATAACATGACAAATGGATACTTTTTCTAGTAAAATTTATAATTCCATTCGGAACATCTCGCCGATTATACGAGGAATGACGGAAAGGGCCGAAAATGTACGATAGTCATTATCTAATAAATAAATGCAAACAAAAACATGAGAATTTTATATACTAAACGTACCTGTGTAAAATCCGAGAAAACAAAAGCTTGTTGCAAACCACTAAATATAAGTAAAGGTATAAGAAGACGGAACGTTTTGTGGGTCAACATTAACTGGACGTGTTCCACAACGATCTGAAAATACAAAACATTCATTGTTGATAATAATAATATCTTAATTGGTAATGGTGGTGTTGGTAGTTTTCACTCCAGCAGTAAGCTATATTGAATTTACCAGAGCACTGTTCAGCCACACATCGTTCCAGGACAGGCTGTCAAGCAGTTTACCAGTACCATAGCAGTTTCCTTCACTTTTGCAAGGAACTGAAACTTCTGTACATACCAGAGCAGAGGTACGGTACAAATGACCTTAGAAGGATCTCATGATCTATCACAACGAAAGTGACTTGCGCCGTCCGCGAACTCTACCTATTGAGCTAACCGGACGCCATCTTAATTGATAAAGCAATAGGAAGGTTCTTTATAAGTCGCCGGTAGAAACCGGCGACTATATTTGTAACAGTTTAATATTATACCTATGGTAGGAGAAGGCTTTAAAATCTGAAAATTAAAGCATATCAATTACTGAACTATTAAAGACTACTATTGTTTTCAGTAATCTCAAAAATTCAAACATACAATAACGTTGCTCAATGAAATGAAATATTCAAATATTGACATCTTAAAAAGCAACATTACAATTTTCATAAAATGAATTAATAACGTATCCCTGTGGAACAGTCATTGAATTTAGGGATACATTTACCTCTTTTTAAGTGTCAATCGTTGCTATTTTATGATTGATAAATCATGAATGATATTGGAAATGACACAGGTTGTTTATATCTTATGACACATATTATATTTCATTATTTTATCTAATTATAAACAGATTCTCCCTGTTCTGTTGTAAGAATCAAGTGACTACACGTTGTATGTTAGTGTTATAAAATCTATTAATAGTAACAGATTGCTGATAAGACATACGGGTAACTTGTGAATAGTTGGCAAAAAGTATGGCGGCTAATTAGATGCAAATGTATAAATAATTACAAGGTTACCTTCCATTAATCAGTTTCATATTTTACATCATTAGAAAGTTCTGTATACTCCTAATTTACACATTACAGAATAAGTTTTCAAAACCATTTCAATTTTTCTTTGTAAAGGGTTAAACTTGGCCCTTTCTGTCAACGTTTAATAGTTTAGTTTAGGTTGAACATCACAAAATAGATTTATGCTAAAGAGGCACATTTATTGAAATAAATAGTGGTAATCGTCGTCTTCGTTATATTCCGTCGATTTCCGTCGCGCAGGTTTAACCAAAACGGTATGTGGGAAGAGATCCGGAATCGTATTAGATATATACATGTACATGATAAAGAAAACTAAAATATTTTATCGAACTGAAAGGCAATTAAACGTTAACTTTATCGTATGTAACGACAGGAATATTGATTTCAACTAAATAATTTATTTTTCGATAGCGCATAAAAATATTTTTTATGCAGATACCAGTTTTACGGTAGAATTGCATTTTTTCATGCAATAATTAAAACATAATTATATATTTTCAAATATTCGATGACCGTTAATTATTTGGCGGTAATTATCGGATTCTGAAGTATACAATACGGATTTCGATGTCTGGTATAACGGTATATGTATAAGGTAGAATTACAAGTAGAATTACAAGAATATCACTCTCCTTACAAAATCAATCAAAATTATGAAATAAAAGTATGCTAGAAATGAAACACGATTAAACAACTAGCTTAAAGTCTTCAGTGTACCCGTTTATACAGTATGACGTTACGTGATTCAATGCCGCATCAAATGAAAAACAAAAATGTTAAATAGCGGCTTATAAAGTTTTGGAAGCCATAACTATTTATCAATTTATGTTTCATATACATGTAGTTGAAAGAAATAATAAAAAAAATAGCTTTATGAAAACAACAAAAGGGATTTTCAAAGATTCGAACTTGGCCTACTAGGTCACAACTTCGTCATACTTACCACCACTAGGCCATCGAGCAATATTAATTGATTTAATATCGAGATCTTTACTATCAATACAATCTTTAGCATTAATCATAATAAGTTACGTAAACTAACAAACACCTCTCGAAAATTAATGAATCTCAGGTCAATATTGCCAGACAATGCTTGCTTATTTATAAATCATAGCAGTTCCTTGACAATTTTGCTAAGCAAGTTTGCTTCATATTTGATGTTTTATTGTGAATAAACAGTTACTTAACATATTGTTCCTCTTTTCTTTATACTTGAACCATATTATTCTTATATTTATGATAATACAATCATTTTCTATCCGGCGACTTGATGCTTTAGCTTTAAAATCTCTACTTGTACATGTTATAAGTGAAGCATTCAATGCTATAGGTGTTTTCTTTGTAAACAACGTTTGGTCCATGTAAACAATTCATAGTTTCTACTGCAAAGACTGTCAGTCAATTGAATGCGAATTATTTATGTATACAATATATTGTTTGGTAAAAAAGTGGATTTTAATGTATGTGGTATGATTAAGACCGCTTTTTTAACTAACTAGTCAAGGTAAGAAAAAATGTTTGCTTCTTCTTAGAAAGTTTATAATTCAAGGGACTAAATCGAGGGTTTTTTTTTGGACGTGAAATGACGAGAAATATTTTTAATGTTTATGTATAACTGGATGTAGGTCTCGACCAATAACACGAGTACAAAAGTTTAGATCATTCGCTTACTCCATTTCCTAGGAAGAAACAAATTTACTGTGCAAATTGATCCCAAAACTAAAGGCTTTGCAACGTTTTTCACTCAAATCGGCCAAAACATCTCATTAAAATTGATTGTTTATTTACTACTGAGTATATCCATCATCTATTGCATAGATATTAATTTAGATGCACCAGTTCAGTTATAAAATAATTTCAAATTTTATGAGTTTAGACTATTGGATCTAAGTAGAGTTCCTTTAAATTTGTCTTCAACTACAAATGTTTATATACACAATATTCTATAAAACATCCATCTCAACATGAGTGTTTGAGATATTAGTCATTGCATGTTATTTGTTATAATAATCTAGGAAATATATAATTTATATGTTACAGAGACTGGAAAAAAATCAATTAAAATAATAAGTTCAATGTTGTGTTTTGCTTTATCTTTGAAACAGAAACTGTTTTGATATTAACATGTTTAAATATGCGCACTATGGAACGGTAACAGTTCATTTATGAAATATAAAATCTTTTTCAATGCATACGTTCAACAATAGCAATTACAGAAAAATACATTAATTTTGTTACACATAACTTTATTTTAAACGTTAGGCATATTGTCAAAGTCACTGCTACATTGTACTCTCTTTAGATTTGTTAATGTAATTTACATGTACACCGTTATGTCTGGGCATTTAATAAAAAATGAAGTTCATCCTCTACAACACTGTCAGTACAAAGAGTGCATATTTCTTTGTGCAGTGTATCTTACAGTTTCAAATTAAAGTGGAAAAAAATGTCATATCTTATAACGAGTGTTATTTTTTACATAAAACATGTTATGTTTAAAGGTTAAGGGTTTGTTATAATTGTAAAACTATCACACTAATTTGATTTGTACGTACAGAGAGGGTAAATAGTCTCCAATATCGTTACAGTTTACAAGAAGTGTCTTGTCGAAGAAATCATAACTGTGTTAAAAGATCACATTACTAAGCAACCATTAAAAACTCATCATTGTATTTTCGGTACTTTTTGTTATGTTTAAAGATGTTAATGAATCACTTATCAATAACATATATAGCATTTGCTATGAAAACATATCTGAATGATTTTCTATTTTACAAAACCAGGCCGTGGATAATTAATCTAATTTAGTCTATTACTTTCTGTAACAATACTAAGTGTTGTCGAACGATTGCCTCTTTGTGGTGAGGCGCTGATGTGATCTGTGAATCAGCTGTCAGTGATGGTCATTTATTTTGTAACTGGCATTTTAGACTAAGGGTGCTGAATAATATATGAAGAGAGAGAGAACTAAATACAACTCACGCGAAAATCGTGCTTTATGTGAAATGGGCTAATGGAGTCTAACAGTAAGGTGACAAATAAGTATGGCTTTACACTTCCAACTTTTGCATAAGTGATAAAATGTCACAACAAACGGTAACACATTGGGAGCAAAAACATATTCTGAACTATTGTCGTTCACCAGCGTTTAAAGAGAGTTTAAAAAAAGACTTTCCGTTCCTTTTGAGGTGGGGTCTCCCCATGGAGGGTTTACGGAAGTTCAAGAAAAACATATACCATTTAATTTACTTGATTCTCATAATAATACTTCGTATAAACTATTCAAAATGTTTTGTTATCATCATCATTATCATCGTCGTCGTCATCGTCATTTTTATTACATGTTATTTCTTTTAACCATTTATTACCAATCGGATATAAGAATGAAATAAGTAATACAATTCCTTTCTTACCCAAATGGAATAATCACAGAACTCTCCCTAAAAGGCTATTTATCAAAAGGTTATCAATCATATAAGCCAATTAAGTTAGCGTCCTTAACAGCGCATCCTAAAAGTGTTGATAATTAATTGATAGTTATTATTCATGATTGTAACACTCCTGGGATGACTGGTATTGACAATGCCAGACAAAATAGATTTTTATTACAGCATACAGAGGAACAAACTTATCCGGCGAAGGGGGGGGGGTGATCGGGGGGGGAACATTTTTGTTTCCCTAAACATATCTGTAGATTGTTTTCTGCGTTGAAGTGTGCTGAATAAAAAAAAGGCATTTTGTAAGTTTGAACTTACCTTGTAGATTTTGACAGTGGTGCAAATTAGTGTTGAAGTGTGATGAATAAAAATAGGTATATGTGTTAGATTGAACTTATCTTGTAGATTTTGGCCGTATTGGAAGTTATTGTTGAGTTTAATCGATAAAAATAGTATTTTTTTAATTTGTTTAATTGAATTTATCTAAAGCATACCACTCTTTGTTTAGGTTTAATAATAAAAAAGAGTTGTTTTGTTAAAATATACATGTCTGTAGAATCTGAAAGAAGAGCAACTTATTGTAGAGGTTTAAATGAAAAAAATGAGTTTCTCAAATGTGTTA